GAACTTCCAGCACTATGTTGAATAGTAGCGGTGATAGAGGACACTCTTGTCTTGTTCCAGTCCTGAGTGGAAAAGCTTTCAGTTTCACTCCATTCAGTATAATATTAGCTGTCAGTTTGTCATAGACGGCTTAGATTGGTTTTAGAAATGTGCCACCAGTGCCTATATTCTTTAGCGTTCTAATTAGGAAAGGATGTTGAATTTTATTGAATGCTTTTTCTGCATCTATTGAGAGGATGATATGGTCTTTGTTTTTGCTCCTCTTGATATGGTGAATTATGTTTATGGATTTGTATATGTTAAAACAGCCTCACATCCCTGGGATGAATCCTACTTGCTCATGATGTATGACTTTTTTAATGATAAGCTGTAATCTATTGGCTAGGATTTTATTGAGAATTTTTGCATCTATATTCATTAGTGAAACTGGTCTGTATTGTTCTTTTTAGTTGGGTCTTTTCCTGATTTTGGTATCAGAGTCATGTTTGCTTCATAGAACATGTTGGGGAAGATTCCTTCCTCCTCATTTTTGGGAATAATTTCTGCAGTGTGGACATAAGCTCTTCACTGAAGGTCTGATAGAATTGTGGTGTGAAGCCTTCTAGACCAGGGCATTTTTTTGTTGAGAGATTATTATTTCAAGACCAGTGCTTGAAATTGGTCTGTTCAGAAGGCCTATTTCATCTTGATTAAGGAGGGGATGTGATTCCAAGTATTGATCCATTTCCTCTACATTGTCAAATTTCTGGGCATAGAGTTTCTTATAGTATTCAGAGATAATCTCTAAGGCATAAAATAATTAAAATCCTCAAAGAAAGTGTGGGGAAAACACTGGAAGCTATTGGCCTGGGGAAAGACTTTATGAGGAAGACTTTTGTGGCAATTGCAGCAACAATAAAAATAAGCAAATGGAACTTAATAAAACTGAAAAGCTTCTGTACAGCTGACAACAACCAAAGCAAAGAGACAACCTACACAACAGGAAAGGATATTTGCATATTTTGAATCAGACCATAGCTTGGTAACTAGGATCTACAGAAAATTCAAATTAATAAACATAAAAAGCATCAACAATCCCTTATATCACTGGCAAGAGAGATAAATAGAACTTTCTCTACAGAAGACAGATGAATGGCTAACAAACAGATGAAAAAATGCTCATCATCCCTAATCATTAGAGAAATGCAAATCAAAACTACCCTGAGATATCATCTAATTCCATAGAGAATGGCCCACATCACAAAGTCTCAAAACTGCAAATGCTGGCATGGATGTGGAGAGAAGGGAACACTTTTACACTCTGGTGGGACTGCAAACTAATACAACCTTTTTGGAAGATAGTATGGAGAACCCTCAAAGAACTCAAGCTAGACCTCCCATTTCATCCTGTAATCCCATTGCTGGGCATCTACCCAGAAGGAAAAATTCCTTTTACCACAGGGACACTTGCACTAGACTGTTCACTGTAGCTCAATTTACAATCGCCAAAACGTGGAAACAGCTGAAATGCCCACCAACCCAGGAATGGATTAACAAGCTGTAGTATATGTATACTATGGAATACTTTTCAGCCACTAAAAAAGATAGAGACTCTACATCCTTTGTATTAACCTGGATGGATGTGGAACACATTATTCTTAGAAAAGCATCACAAGAAGGGAGTAACAAGAATCCCATGTACTCAGTTCTGATATGAGAACAATTAATATCCTAGTGCATGGTGGGAGGTGGGGGATAAGCAGAGCTGAGAAAGGGAAGGAGGGAAAGGGTGGAGGGACAAGGGGTGTGGTACACCTTTTGAGGGTGGGACACAATCATAAGAGGATCCTTGTCTAACAAAAACAATCAATGTAACCTCAATCTGTGTACCCTCAATGAATCCCCAGTAATTAAATAAATAAAGTACAGAAGGGAAGGAGAAAAATAAAACCAATTAACAAAAAAACCCTGGCCCTTACTCACTAACATCGTAGTGGGCATTACAAAAGGTTTAATTCTACATCTACCCTAATTTCTTTATAAAGTACAAGTCAAACGAACTTTCTATAAATTAACATTATAGTATGATGACCAACAGCATGAACTCCAGAGCTAGTCTTTCCAGAGTCAATTCCTGGCTCTGCCATTTACTATCTGTGTGACTTTGGACAAGACACACCACCTTTTGGTGTCCCAGTATGTCCTCTCATATGCAAATAATGACAGAACATCTCAGTGGGTTGTCGTATTAAATGAGTTTCTTTATGTAAAATCCTTGGTACAGTGCCTGAAATATGAGAAGTGTCATAATTACTGGTGGCAAGGGTGAGATAGAACAATTCAAAAACTAATCACAATAAGAGCACAAAGATCGTTACACATGCTGGTGAGGCTAGATTGAAGAAACTAACAAAAACTCCAGTGTAGGTGACCACTAAACACATTCAAGAATTGTATGTACATGGGATCTTTTCCCATCAGCCTTAGTATTCCAGAAATTTGCACTTACTATTCCACTGATTTGAGCTGGTCATATATACATGCTCCATACTGGACCAGGCAAAGGAGCACACCATTCCCTAAGGTGCTCCAGCTGACCTATGGCTTAACAATGAAATAGCACAGCCTTAATTAACTCATGGTTAAATAAGCATTTCACTAAAACACCAGCCCAGAACATTAGAAGCAAATTGTGTTAGCCAGAATACTAAGGACTAGCAGTGATTTTCAACCAGTGTGCTGCAAAAATTTTTAAAGATCATTAAATTATTTTTGAAGGAAGGTCAAAGCACAGTAAGTATATTCCTTTCTTTACTTTTTTTTTATCAACATAATTTAAGTGTGCATGAAGTTTAACTATAGGTTCAAGTGTGTGGTGAGATTAAAAAAGGTTGAAATACACTGGCCTAAAGGGATCTCCACAGTGGTCACTGATGACCACTCACCCAAAAATTCAGCAGCAAAACGTGAAAGAAGGGACAAGAATACATTGTCCGAGGTCCCAGCACATCGACTGTCTTCCTCACCACCCAGCACACCTGGAGCCTCTGTCCAGCCCATCCCTCTCAGTCACAGCCCCGTAAGGGCACGTGTCGAGAGCACCCACTGAACCTAGCTAAGACCACCACCAGCAGCTGACCTTGTCCTACTTTCAATAATAAGAGCTATGAAAGCTCTGGAATGGTTTGAACAATTTTATCTGGCCCTGACCACCCTCTGAAAAATATATCCAATTTTCATCCCATTTCCCTATCATCTCCTATTCTCCTTCTTTTCTTTCCCCCAGAAATTGCTTATCTTACTGAAGTAAACAAACACAGCTTTTTGACTAGTTGCAAAACTCCAGTGGTTAACAGTGCACACAGCATTTCTGATCTAATCCCTGCTTATACACACCAGGATATTCTGAGTGATTGAGGCCATGGTTGATTTTCCTCGCCCCTGTCAAGGTCCTGAGTGTCCTTGGCCCACCCTGGACCTACAATTTCCTAAGCATAAGTACATGTTCTCAGCATTTCCCTTGGCTGGATCTAATGCCTTACATGTGGATAGACTGGTTTTGTCTATAATCACTGTTTATTTCCTTAGTACATTTTCTATCTACTGCAAGTCTGCTGCCAAATGCCTAAAAGCTTTCTACTTTGAAGCACAAATCAGTAGAAAAAGATGGGAGATACACACAAAGTAAAAGACAGATACTTCTTCTAAACAAAAGCTGAATGTGGTTTAACTCAAACTGAGTTTTTGAATTATACCAAAGCCAGTATGCAAAACCACCCTGACAAAAACAGACAAAGCACTGTAAATAGCAAGTTAGTGAATCAACACAGCAAAGCATCCTGCAATGTGGTCTCCTAGTGCTAATGTTGTGAGATAATGTATTAAAGGAGTTACATTTTCTAAATTTTGCCTTGCTTTTTTATTTTATTTGAAGAAAAATTGAAATGATACTTTGAAGAACTACTTCATTCTCTCCCATATGCTGACAAGAACCAAGACTGTTCCCACCGTGACTAAGTGATATAAAGAGTTAGCCACTACTAAGAACCAAAATCTTTTGGATTAGTAATAAATCAACTTGCAGGCAGTCAGAATTATTACGCTCGAACTGGAAGCAGTTGAATACCTCCAAACCGTTTTGTTGCTGAAAAATTATCCTCCCAACTGAGAAACTAGGAATATATATTCAGCACGGAAACAAATCTGCGTCTAGTTCCGAAGACCTCTCTACTACTGCTTGTTTTATGTTTCTGAAACAGTTTGCTGTCGATGATTTATTTCACATCCATGTGGCCAGCCATTTGTTTATTCTATTGCATACCATCTGTTTTTCAGTAGAGAGGTTTCAAGTTCTTCTCATTCCCTACTTCGTATCCCACAGAAAACAATTTATAATAGATACGGATTTAAATCTTTTGGATTCACGTGGAGTTGGTAATGTGAGCTGCCTTTCATTTATATTTGGCAAATGCTTTAATGGGATTACCAAATTGTGTTATTACGAGGTACTTATGGAGAGACAACACCTTTTTTTAATAATGACAAATGATGTTAACAGTTTCATTTTGGGTGTTGAGTAGCAGTACAGAAGATTTCACTCGCGTTACAGGAAATTGCCCTGATTGATACCACAAACCCTGTCCATATCTTTTATTTCTGAAAGTCAATAGGTATCTATATCAGGAGGTGGTGGGATCTAATTGTGGGGAATAGATGCCAAGTTGCTACACTTTTGAGAGGATGTTATCATTTAACCCACAGACGAGAGAGCTCTGTCTTGTTCCGACATGCTCATGTTATTACGTAAGCCCAACGATCATGGCCTTGCTTGTCTAGGTACTCACAAGTAAAGGCAGTCCCCAGACTTCCCCAAAGAACAGTTAATGCCACAAACCTCAGCTCTTTAGCACCCATTTATTCTCATCCTATGGCTCACTTTGATTTGCTCTAGTGAAGAGGTAACCATTCAGAGACAACTTTGTGCTGAAACCACACAGATTTGTTGGAAGAGTGTTAATTACCATTTTCATAGGAATCCTTTCTGCTTTCGTAGAGAGGAGGTATCTGATGACAGGGTCCAGTGGCTGTCCACAGTTCATGGTTGACATCTGAGGGCTGAGAAATGTCTGTCTTGAGGTCTACTTGGTTTTCACTAGTCCTTACCAGATCAGAATAAGACACATTTGGGGGTGATACGGCATCCTGCTGGATACGTGATGGATTCGGTTTGTTGAAAGTATTAAGTGACATTTGTACTAAAGCTTCATTGATGAAGAATGAATTTTCATGACATAAACTCTCAGATCGATTAAGTTCCACTACCTGTGTAAAGAAATACAGAAAAAGTACAATAAATTTTCTGGCAACTTAACAAAAGTCTCACAAAGTCTAACCAAAGTCTCTATTCCTAATAGAGTCTAGCAATCAAGATTTCAGTTAAGAGTAAGGTCAGAAAGAATATTACCATTTACTCTCTCCTCCCACACCTTTTAATGAGCTAACACCAAAAACTTCAATTTGTTATGCACGGCCTATCTTAAAAAGACAAAACAAAACAAGAAGTAGTGTTCTATGATATCAAAGTGGCATTTTCACTTTTTCTAAATAAAAAAGTTGAAAACAAAGCCATATACACATGAGGAATTTAGTCAACTTGAAGGGAAAAAGAGAGACAATGGATTTGTCCTATAAATCTATCAACTTTTACAACCTTATGAATTATCAATAAAAAGCATACATACATGTAGCCTAGAAAAATAAGACCAACGGGAAAAACAAAACAAAACAATGGAATGGTCGAGCAAATAAGTAAATAACTCTTACTAGTAAATGGATTTTGAATTTCCTATACCAAATTTACAAAGAGAGAATAAGCTCGGTGTAACAGAATAGCATCAGTTATCTCTGCTACACTTGCTAAATTCAATACCTGTAACGTACAGTAATAGCTAATCGATCTACTAGTAGGTATGTCTACATAGAACTGTTAAGAAACAGGGTTCCTTGGGTTCCTTTTTTTTTTTGAGAGTCTAACTCTGTCACCCTGGGTAGAGTGCCATGGTGTCATAGCTCACAGCAACATCAGACTCTTGGGCTCAAGTGATCCTCTTGCCTTAGCCTCCCAAGTAGCTGGGGCTACAGGCCTCCCCCATAACCAGGCTACTTTTAGAGACCAGGAGGAGGTTCTCACTCTTGCTCAGGCTGGTCTTCAACTCCTGAGCTCAAGCGATGCACCTGCCTGGGCCTCCCAGAATGCTAGGATTATAGGCCTGAGCCCTGGTGCCTGGCCTGACAGGGTTCTTATAGCCCTGGAAAACAGCCCACCCTAGCCTTCCTGACACAACTTCCTTCTGCGTTTCTTCCTTAGGTAAGAGCATGTTTTAAAGCAATGATCCCCAACCTTTTTGGCACCAGGGAGCAGTTTCACAGAAGACAGTTTTTCCACAGATGGGGGTGAGGGGCAGGTGTCAAGATGACTCAAGCACATGACCTCAGACCATCAGGCATTAAATTCTCATAAGAAGTCAGCGCCTAGATCCCTCCCATGTGCAGTTCCAGCTGCTATGAGAATCTAATGCCTCCGCTGGTGTGCTCGGAGGCGGAGGCGGAGCTCAGGCCGTGACCTGAGCCAGGCGGAGCAGCTGTAGATACAGAAGAAGCTTCTCGCACCGCCTGCAGTCCGCCTCCTGCTGTGCAGTTGGTTCCTAACAGGCCAGGCCTGGCACACGGCCAGCGGTGGAGACTGCAGTGTTAGAGTACAAATCTCCCCGGATCCCATAGGGCCTAGGTCTTTAACCTTCTCAGGACTGAAGATGAATGAGCCACATATGCATGGTCTCTGGAAAGTTCCCAGCTCTGGCTACCTCCAAATTGAGGAACCCTCACGAGCTCTTAGCCAAGAACCAAAAAGACAGATATCTGGTGAACACCCCGGGCACGGCCAGGCCCAGCCCCTTCGGGAAGACGCGTACCTCCTCGGCGCAAAGGGGAAAGGCCGTGGGGAGGCTCCGCTGGCGGCTGTGCCTCCAGTGGCCCAGCAGGCCCTGCTGGCCGCGCACGCCGGCCCGCTCCCTCTCCACCAGCCGCTGGCCCTCCCTCAGCCGCTCCAGGCTGTGCTGGTACTCCTGGCGCTGGTGCTCCAGCTCGCCCCGGCCCCGCAGCAGCCGCTCCTCCTGCGCCCGGCACTGGCGCTCGCGCTCCCGCAGCCCGCGCTCCCGGGCCGCCTGCGCGCGCTGCTGCTGCTCCCAGCCGCGCTGCCAGCGCCGCTGCTCCTGCTGTAGCTGCCGCTGCAGCTGCCCCGCGTCGGCCGGCTCCTCGCGGGCCTTCTCCTGCTCCTGCCAGGGGCTGCCTCGGAGCAGAGGGTGGCAGAGGGCCAGGCTCTCCTGCTGCCGGAGGACCAGCTTGTGGATCTCAATGTGGCTGTCCTGAATGGTCAAGGCGGCCTGTGGGGCGGACGAGAAGGAAGAGGACGAAAGGCGGGCTGCCATACTGTCTGCCCCGAGGGCTGCAACTACCTCCAAACGCAGAACTCTGGCCTACATTGTCTCCTGGTATTTCTGCCCTTTCCCCAAGTTACCTCCAAAGGCAGCCTTTGGCCTTTCAAATAGGCTTCTCTACCTCTCCCAGTGGAATTACCCAGAAATTTATAGAGAAAAGAAACAAAGCACAAAAGCAACTTCCATCCCCTCCTGTGGGAACTGGTCTGTTGCTGATTACTGGGCAATATTTAAGCAGTTCTCTGAGTCAGAACTCAGTACATCCACTCCCAAGGCCCTGCACTCCCGTCTACATCCCATCCTCTTTCTGAGGTCTTCCCCCTCAATGATTCACGAGACTTTAAGAATCTATATAAACCTAGTAGCATCCTTTGAGTCCCAAATCAGAAATTTCTTGAGTTTTTATAAAGACATACAAATAAAAGTCAACTACTTGGAGGCTTTTTACAACACAATGCCCAAGAATGGCAGTTAATACAATTTTTAGGAGATACGTGCCTCAAGCTAGTCTCATTACCGTCTTATATTACATTATAGCAGGAAGGTCATCCATAAAAGATTAAGCAGAAATTTATTTTTTTAATAGATCACTAACAGGAGGCTAGAATGATTAAGGGGAAGGAGATACGCTAAAGCCCACAGGACATTACCAACTGGATTAAAAAAACATTTTGAGTTACCATATCTGCCTATGAAAAGTTTGGCAGGATCACAGGAAATAATTACCAAGAATTGGAAGGATTCCACAAAACCAAAAAAAATCTCTGTGAATGCCCTTGGAAGCTTTTCATTTTAAAATTTCTCCCTTTAAAGTGAAAAGAAGTACAGAAGGAACAAATTGAAAATGGACACATACTGGGGATGTGTGTATGTTTTGACTCAGTATGAGAAATCATTACTCTCCAAGGGATAAATTCACATTATTCTTTCCTATGAATTTTTTAAAAACTATCCATGTTACAGATGTTGGGAAGATGGGGGGGGTTGATCATTAGCTCTTTGTTAGATCAGCAGTTTCCTATGTTTTTGAAAGTTAAAGAACTAAGGTTCTTATCTTTTAAATTCATACCCATCTTAACATAAGACTCAGAAATGTATTCACAGGGGCTTTTTGAAATAAAATTCATATTGGTAAGTTTGAAAATTAATTTTTAAAAGTTCAGACTCACCTGAATATTTGATTAATGGTTTTTGGCAGTTGTTATAAAGAAAACAATGATTATCATTGAAAACAGGTACTAATTACAGGGATCATTAAATATGAAATAATTAGCACATAATAATAAACCATTCAGACTCTGCTGACCTGGCTAGAGAAAATTATAGACTGTACATCACCACTTAATTCTAAAAAAGCCTAAGGCCATTAGTATGGCAAAAACAAAAATCCAACATTTTACATGTCAAAACTACCACAGGCTATAACTCTCATGTAATAATTACAATTGGTATGATTAAATGCTGCCATGAAATATTCTTCAGGTCTACCTAATGTCTGGGATAAGATCATCCTCTTCCCTGGCATAGAAGTAGAATCTGAAGTTCATTTAAAGTTAAATGAATATCCAGTCTTCACACTTAAAGTTTACATCTATATTTAGTACAGAGAACAGCACTTGTTTTTCAAGTTGAAGGAAATTCCCAACTCCTTCTCTCTTAACTTTGCTAGAATATGTGTCCTTTCCTTTGCTTTGCCCATACCTTCTTTTTAACTCTATCCTCCTAATACAGGAATCAAATTGCATTTTCATCTGATTCAAAACTGCGTGTATAAAAACTTCAGTCATGCATAAGAGATTCAGCTTCCAAAGAGATGATTGTGCCATGAACAGAAATCTTTCCGAGCCCATGGCCTTGGAAGCCACCGTAGACTTTGATATTTCCTATGACGCTTCAACCCAAGGTGTTGCAAAAGTTAGGTCATTGAGGTCACCAGGCTTTTCTCAACCTTGAATCCACACAGGGCTGTATTTAGGGTTGAAAAGAAGAAAGATGACCTTGTGTTTCATCAGGCAACACAAGCCAGGATGCTCGATGTTTTCAGCCCTCACGAGTTAATAGATTATACTCAAACTGTACTCTTTTCTCAGTTGACATTCAGATGAAAGAATGTTTGTTTTACATGATAAATTGATCTCTGAGATCAGCATAATTAATGTAAGACTCTGAAGGCATTCTTACCAATTTTTTTTTTTTCTTGAGACAGAGGGTCTCCCTTTGTGGTCATAGCTCACAGCAACCTCAAACTCTTGGGCTCAAGTGATTCTCTTGCCTCAGCCTCCTTAGTAGCTGGGACTACAGGCCCCCACCGCAACGACCAGCTTTTTTTTTTTTTTAAGAGATGAGGTCTCACTCTGGCTCAGGCTGGTCTTAATTAAACCTGGGAACTCAGGCAATCCACCCTCCTGAGCTTCCAAGAGCTAGGTTTACAGGCATGAGCCACCGTGCCCGGCTCTTACTAAATATTGAATAAAGCGAGGGGCTTCCTATCACCATTCTTTAGCACATTTTCCAAAGTTCTAGCAAAGCAGTAAGCTAAGAAAGCAAATTTGGTATAATTATGGAAGAATAGTCATAATATTATTTTCAAATTTCTATTGTCTACCTGGAATACTCCAAGGAATCAATGGAAAAACTATTAAAACAAAAAATAAAGTTGAATTGGCCAGGTGTAATATAAATACATAAAACTCAGTATCTTCATCTATATCTGCAACCACCATGAAGGGAACATAATTTTTGAAAATCTCATTCACAATAGCAAAAAAGAGACATAGGAATAAACTTAGTAAGAAAAAAACACATAATAGTACTTATGTGAGGACAACTACAAAGCTTTCTAGCAAAACATAAAATAAGAGATGATGGATCCATGTTCTTAGACAAGAGGACTAATTATGGCAGAAGTGCCAAATCTTTCCCATTTAGAATGATGAAATTTTAACTTAATGGTACTGGTAAGAATTAAGCAACTTGACAGATTCAAAAGCTCTTGAAAATACATACATATGCATAGAAAAATAAGACATGTAACCCAAAGCTTTCCCAGTTAAGATAGAAATACTAGGAAAAAAATAACAGAATATGAGTGAAATAAATCTGGATATAGTCCAGGTAGAAATAAGAACATCCATGGTAGCATGACTTCACATTTTCTGGTAAAAACTTGGGCTTAATTTGATTTCCTTTTAACATTCAACAAGATATAAAGTGGAAATTCATAATAAATCAGTAAGTGCAAAATCAGAGAAGTGCAAATTAAAATGATCAGGTACCTCTATCCATTTCTCCCCCTCTATCTCCATTTCGGGGGAGAAAAGGAAAGAGGAGGAATTGATTTGATTATTTTGGCAATGCTATTAAAAACCTGGAGAAAATAGTTCTAATAATTTATCCTAAGGAAACACTCAGATATATTCGAAGAGATTAATGTCCAAAAATGTCCACTATGGTGTTGCTAATACAAAAATATAAACAAGAAGGAAGGGACGACATGAATTCCACCGACTGGAATATTATACAATCATAAAAACCAGGCTATAGAAAAACAATTGATGACAGAGAAAGTTATATGTTGCAAAAGAACAGGTGCAAAATGATTCTAAAATCTGGAGGGACACACGCCAACATGACAGCTGTTTGTTCTCTACAAGTCATTTTCTTTTATTTACTTGTATTCTCAAAATTTTTTTACAGACTTTCAAGAATTCTAACATCGCATTTACATAAATCTAAAGTTTTGGGTTTTTTTTTGAGACAGAGTCTCACTATGTTGCCCTCGGTAGAGTGCTGTCGCATCACAGCTCACAGCAACCTCAAACTCTTGGGCTCAAATGATCCTCTTGCCTCAGCCTCCCAAGTAGCTGGGACTACAGGTGTCTGCCACAATGCCCAGCTATTTTTTGTTGCAGTTGTCATTATTGTTTTAGCAGGCCCAGGCCGGGGTCGAACCTGCCAGCCTTGGCATATGAGGCTGGCGGGGTAACCACTGTGCTATGGGCGCCGAGCCTCTAAAGTATTTTTTAATCAGTAAATTAAGCAATTGAACACACTGAGATTATCCATCCCTTTAATCCTAAATCATAAGCACGATTATTATGCCTATTTTTTCCTTGGAAGACAGTAAGCCATCTGAGGGTGGGCTTTGTGTGCCAGCCCTCAACACGGGGTCCAGCACGGAGATCCACGAATATTGAGTTGATGGACAAGCTCAGGATTGAAGCAGCCTGTGAGTTCTTTAACTGCTCTCAAGGCCTGTAGGCCACATGTGGAAGTGAAAAAAGTTTAGGTGTGAATTTAAGTTTTCACCAGAAAATGTGAAGTCAAGCTATACTCACCTAGGAGTTTCACTGAAAACATCAAGCCACATCACACTCATCAATATTTTTTAAAGATATGATGTGTTTTATGATTTCGGAGAAGACTCATAGGAAAGGCAGCGGTGGTATCGCCTGGTGATTACAAACCCAGGTGGAGTTCAACATGCTAACTTAGCAGGTTGGCGTTCTTTTAAGAGTGTCTGCTACCCATCAAGTGTTCCTAATTTTCAAAGTCTGGGAATCATCAAAGTAGACTGCATTAAGAGCAACAGTCTCAAGGTCAATGATTAAAGGAAGGTAGTTACCTGAAGGCTATATAAGAGACGGGTTAAATTCTGTATAGCTTGTATAATCTGAAAAATAAGATCATAAATATCAAATTCTTGAAAAGCTTTCGTTATCCACAAATAAAGAGAAGCTGGTGATATAGCTGACATGTGTAGCTCACCTCAGACTGTGAAGAACCTGCAAAACTTCTATATTCCACCTAAAATACATAAAAACATAAGAAAATGAATAACACTTTACTTTTGAAAAGCCACAGTGTACTGTTCTATAATATATGAACCTTAGGTCAATCACTCTCTACACTTGATTACCATGTCTATCATGACCCAGTTTCCTCCCAGAATAAAAGCCTGTAGAATTAACCAACCACTTGACAATGACAGCCCCCTTCATGCAAACTTGGTGTTTGAGATGCATGACAATTTTTACCCAACCATCCCTTAAAACAGCAAAGAATGACAGTATGGAAGTCTGCAAGCTCTAGTGACAATATTTACCTTGTACGAACCATACTGTAAACTGAGTTTTCTGTGCTCAAGTTGAAGGGTGTCCTGGACAGGCCAGATTCGGAAGTCAGAGAACACCATGCCTGGCCTCTGTCTGTCTAAATGTCTGACACTCACGATGCCAAAATAGCCAGTGTATGGGAAAAGGAACCCAGACCCAGAGACAGCCCAAAGGGGAGCGCTTAGCTGGGCTGCTCCAAACCCTTCCATGGCCAGAGTTCCCTGGAGCAGTGATGCCTTGCAGAAGTACCATCAGCAGAAGCCATGAATGAGGTTGCAGGAGATCATCTGCTCCTTGGGGAAGGGGCCTATGCCTCATTCCTTCTCTCTCTCATAGCACATATTAAGGATTCCTGTGGATCGTGAAGGTGTCCAATGTCTGGAATCGAACTGCACGTCTGTTTATCCCTTCCCTGTCTGCCTTCTCTCCCTAGGAGGTAAGCCAGTGAATGGTAGGACCTTATCTGTGTGCTCTGTATCTTCAAACCTAAGAATAATGCCTAGCATGTAACAGACACTCAATAAATGAATGAACATAACTTGAATTGGATGGCACTCCATTCAATAAATAAATATTAATCACCCACAATAAACTTCACATCTTACGCTATGGGACATAATCAAATTCCCCCTTGTCCCAAGGACCTACAGTTTCCTTATGCTGCTTTCTTATGTCTCAGAAGATCTCATTTTAAGTAGTCAAAGAAAAAAAAGTTTACTAGAAGTATTTGTTCTGTAAAATTGAGATTCAGTCCAAAGGCTGCACTCAAAGACCCCCCAAAGGACGCAGGTTCTCCACCTCTGACTCATTCTCCTTGCCTATCCACACTCCACTGCTTTTGTAATAAGACCATATGGTATAGAGTTTTCATGCTCTATAAAAATTAGAACCACAGAAATGAGTTGGACCGTGCTACCTGTGGTTGCTTACACCACCAGGTTGGATACAAGACCGGAAAGGTCCCACCATCTTTTTAAATGGAGTCCGTGCGCCACCTTGTGGTGAGTTTGCACAGCTGCAGTTGATGATTCACATCACTTATTTCTTGCTTTTGGGTTACAGATGTAATTTTTTAATTTTCAGAAATTTGTTTTAGCCTTACCTTGTTAAGGAAGGTAACGAAAAAAAATCCACTAAATACGTTTTAAAACTTTTTATTTCAAGCAATCCTTCCCTATATCTCAGCTCATTTTGTTTCTCAAAATGCCTTGTTAAGGGCAAATTTTGCAAGTAGGTTAATCCAACAAGAACCTGGTCACTTAATGTCACTTACCTATCTTACTCTCAGGTAACTAAATCATGATAGGAGAAATATTTACGGGTAGAGCCACCACACTTCCTACACAAGACTAAACTATCACTGACCAACTTTTTCTTTCTTTTCTAATAATACAAAAGCAGTTGGAAACTACAGACTTCAGACTTAAAGGTGAAGTCAGAGCTGAAAAGAACAAAAAGCAGCAACGTTTTAAGAAGAAGGAAGTTAGAAAGCTTACAATCATAATAAAAGTAGAGTAAAATATTGTATTTCTAGAATCATTTTGACTTGTGAAGTTTTTAAAAAGAGTACAAAGTCAGAGTTGTGTTTTCTAAAGATTTTTTTAAATCCTTAGATGTGGTTACGATACATAAAATACATTAAATACGTAAGAGAAGATTTGACATTTGTCATTTTTACAGATGTCGGTTGCTGTAACGTACCCCAAACCTCCTAAACCCCAGACAAGCCCAGAGAGGCTAACTAGACACCTCCCAGAATCATATTTTTATTCTTTCCCCCTTTCTGACATTTCAATTTCATTTGAAATTAATGGAACGTTTTATGCACTTAAATTTTAAAGAGAGTGTTACCACTTCTGTATATAGAAGTTTAGTTCCCCCCCAAAAAAAACATTTGGAACTGCTTTGCTCCAGCCAAAATTTGGTAAGGTTAATTTTAAAACTAGGTGAAGTGTGGGTGGTGACAGGAAGTCAACTTTGAAAGGAGAGAAAGTTCAAGGAAAATGACAGCAGCAAGAATATCAAAAACAAAAACAAACAAACAAAAAAACGTGTTTCAGTTACTTTGGCACCACCTGGTTGCCTAGGGGCCCCAGATGCCCAGGACTGCCTCCCGGCCAGGGGCGCCCAATGCGGTGGGTGAGGTGAGAAGCAAAGGTTTGCAGGACGGAAAGCAAGACCAGAAGTCAGGCAGCGCAGACACACAGGGACACACGAGAGTTTTCAATCTGCTTTAATAACTTTTCAGTCATTTCTTTGTTTACACCCACATGACATAAGAAGAACAAGCACATTTGGAGAAGGAATAAGTTAGAAAGTTTATGAGCATTGCAATCAGGTGCGAACAATTCAGAAAAGCCCCCTCATCCCCGTCCTTCCCCTGACACAGCAGGCCCTGCAGCTATGTCATTACACACAGTACCCCGTGCTCTGTACTAACAAATCAGTGCACAATACCTTCTCCCCTGCATCAGAGACTGCCAAGTCGGTTACCACACCCTGGATCCCGGGATCCACATCCCAACAGCCTCTTCCTTCTCTCCCTTCTGGGACTAGTGCTGGAAGCACACCATTGAGACAGAGACAAAAGGACAATATCAAACAGCAGCCAGCTGACGGGTTCTGCACACAGCTGACACACATTTTGAAATAAGAAACATCACCATACATATTGAACCTTCTTTTCAGAGGTGCTGAGACCACACAGACAAAGCATCAGTCCCTGCCCACATGGGGCTTACACGCTATGAGACACCAAACTCTTATGCAAAAAACTCATTATGCAAAAGCATAAATGATCGCCCATCTTTTACTTCTTTCTTGCGCTGCTGCATTCTTGCGCTGTTTGCGGTACAGAGGGTAGGTTCTACGTTTCGCTTCCCTTAATAGGAAAAAGCCTCTAGGGGAGGGTGAAATTTCAAACAGGCGCTGTAGAGCAAAAACAAGGTCTCTTGGCAGACCCAAGTCTGTAGAAAGGCTCTCCTGGGGCCACTATGAGACCAGCAGGTGGTACATAAGGAAGAAGAAAGAGTCCAAAAGGCAGGAGGGAGAAGACAGCTGAAGATGGCTAATATCTTAGGGTCTCATAGTCACACAAACTGAAAACCTATCCCAATCTCGAAGGAATTTACTTTGTAACAATTTCCAAATGTGTTTTATTCTTGCGTTTCCCTTATGCCTTAAATTCACAAATACTATAAAATTCTGTACATTAAACCTGTGAAGATACAGAAACTAGTCCCGAAATGTTTTTAAGTACCAAATACAGATTTCACTTCATCCGTGAACTCTCCATTGGAGGATTTTATTTATTTCTTCAGCCAGGTGAGCTCGGTTAAAAGTTCTACCATACCCACCTCGCACTGATTAAAACAACTTTTCAGAGCCCTTTCACACACAGTATTTCATTGGAACTATGTCTACTAGGGACCTCCATGAAACAGATGTTTGCTCTGTGACACTGTTTATAAAATTTTCTATTCACTGTCATTTTGAAACTTTATTTCAGATAAAGGAAATTCCTTTTTTTTATTATTATCCCTTTAAATTAATGAAAATACTTAAGTCTTTGGAAAATGGAAGTCCTCTCGGACTCCAAAGGTCTCTTCAAATACATAGAAGTTGTTGTCTAAATGGAAACTGCTTCAAATGACACATATCAGCTACAAACCAAGTTTATTCTAACTTGGTCAACCTTATTCATTTATAGTGGAGAAACATTTATCCCGATTTTTCTGTCATTCAAAAAATGGTTATACTACTGGGTGCTGTTCTTAACTCCTACAAAGATGCCAAAGGCTTTACCAAGGAATTGGCCATTCTCTTTCTGCCAAACAAAGGCAGGAGAATGGAACATAGACCTGTCCCGTGTTCAATTCCACAGTGGGTGAGAGGGTCTGCAGTGGACAGAACTTCACTGCAAGGAGATTCTACTCAGCCATCAGATCAGTCTATTGAGGACTGAAAATAGAGGGCTCCACTTAGCCGATGGCCACACACTGACTGCAAAGGACCCAGACCTCAAAGTCAAGCACAGAGCTGACTGACTCAGTTACACACCTTCCTTTGTTGAGGATCTTTTGCCCTTAACAACTTTATAAAGAAAATCAAACTCTTGTAGCACTGTGTTACAATCCAACCCAGAAGTGAAGTGACCTTTGGGGCACACCACACTGCCTGTGCACCTCTCCTCTACCTGAATCTCCGTATCAGACCAGTCTGTAAAGAGCCCTCAACAGTTCCAGCAAATGCTCTAAGGGTCCCTTTGGAATTCTCCCAAGACACAGGCGATGTGGATACAGATGGGGAGAGCCTTCATCGCCCGGCCTGAGGGGTGGCAAGGTACAGCTACACACTCCGGGCAGCTGCAGGAGTGGAGCGGGGCCTCCCCGGCTGTCCTTGGACCAGGCCAAGAGCAGCAGATCCCTACATGCATTTTTAGACAGAGCTTCCTCAATGGCATAATGAGCTTCTTCTTTTAAAAGGAAATCACCCAGGGCAGTACAACTCCCCTGATGAATCTGGGCTGTGCCAAAATGAAAAACATATGTGCTCATTCTGAAAATAGAAACCCAGGATTAGATAAAGCAGAACTTGAGAGGGGAAATAATTATTGGTGCTGGTTAAAAAAAAAAAAAGGTATAGAATTAAAAAGCCATACTGCTCCTATACATCTTAATTAACCAAGGAATGTTGTTAAAGAAGTTCTAAGACAATTTAATCTTCCAATCTCTCCTTACTAAGGACCCTTTACATCCTGCACATACGGAGTTGTGGAAGGAAGGTTTGACCACCCAGGCACAACAAAAAATATACTTTTTATGCTCTTCTATAAAAAACCTTTGGAACTAACCAGTTAGCTTATAACCATATATGTAACGGTATTAAGTGGGCTCTGAAAAATTACCTAAACCAAGTCTCTCCATTCTGTTTTTCTGTATTTAAAATATATTGAAATAGCGTTTTAATAAATGAATTCTGACCTGAAATAAAATGTATGATGATTAAGAAATTTTCTACCTTTAATCTTCTGCCTTTAACCATACCATTCAACCGTGTGTGTGTGTGTGTCTAAGAGAGAAAGAGAGAAAGAGGACAGAGAAAGAGGGGAAGTATGTGTATATTTCTATTTTCTGAGTTTTTTCTCAGTGGATGTGTATGAGATTAAGTTTTAAAAGCTTACTCTCTAATAGACTCCACAAAAGTTTTTTTAAAAAAGTTAAAAGTCCTTTCAAAACTATGTTCAATAGCTCACATCAAAAATGAGGCAGGGTAGAGTTTGGAGAAGGTATAACCCTTGCTGGGAAACAGAGCAGTATAACCCACCCACCACTCTTTAGGTTCTCGTCCTTAGAACACCAGTGCCATTATTATATACATACATAATACTTATTTATGACTAGCATATGTATTCTCAAGTGTTTCTTCTAATTTAAAAAAATACATTAAGTCCCCTCCAAATAGGGACAGAACCATTGCCCTCATTGTATGTGACCGCTCTGAGCTCCAGGCATAGTGTTCAGGCTCATGGCCAAGGCCTGCACTTTCACTTACAAGCAGTAGGCGATCCTGGGACATCGTGAGAACTGGACGTGTCCGTCAAGACAGAGTCTCCACAACCGTCCTCGGATGACTGACTGACATCGCTTGTCTGTGAGGCCTTCACTGCTACATGTAGGCTCTCAGCTAAGAGGGGAAAATAAAAATAAGTTTAAAGAACAAATATATGTATATAGTTTAATCTAGACCAGGGTTTGGAAAAGTGCATTTGCCTATGTCTTTTTTTTTATATGGCCCAGGAGCTAAAAATAGTTTTTATGTTGTTAAAGGACTGTAGAAACACACACACACACACACACACACACCCACACCCTAGACAGTGCGGGACCTGCACATACTAAACTATTTACTACCTGGCCCATGACAGAAAAAAATTATAGACCTGAAATCTAGTCTACAACTTTTAGCATCATGTTATGATAGAGAATTAACTCAATAAAAATGTATAAACTGCTACTTGGGAGGCTGAGATAAGAGACTCGCCCTAGCCCAAGAGCTGGGGTTGCTGTGAGCTGTGATGCCACAGCACTCTACCGAGGGTGACAAAATAAAACTCTGTCTCTAAAAATAAAATAAAATAAGAGAAACATACTATATAAAATACCTCAAATGTAACTTTCATTACCTTAGTATGCTGAAAAACCTTCCAATAATCCCATTAATTCAGATACAACATCAGCATTAGGATTTTAAAACCTGTTATCAGAAATATTAGCTATTGTTCAAAAAGATATTTCCCCAAACTTGCCTGTACAAATACAGATCCCCAATCTTCCCTCTAGACTTTCTGGATCTGATTCTCCAGAAGAGACAAAGATAGACATTTTAACAAGCACCATAGGTTACTCTGAGGATTTCAACTTTAGCTTAGGTCGGCTTAAGAAACATCATACCCAAAGGGAGATTTTTTTTTTTTTATAATGAAATATGTTCAACTAGCGTGTAGAATAGCATAATTCTGAAGACCCTACAAGTATTTCTAAGTATTGTTCAAAGATTCAATTCTGAAAGTATTTACTGAAAATCAACTCTGTCCTGAGCGCTGCTGGGCACTTGGTGACTAGTAGGGCGAGTTCCCAGCAGGACGTGGTCAGTTCTCAGGTCTATCAGGTACCAGAGCATTATAAGTGCTGCAGCAGCACGGAGGAGCAGCACAGTTACTGCAGCTAGCAAGATTAGGAAACAATTTTAAAGTAGGCAAAAATTGGGCAGGGTCTAGAAAGATGCAGAGAGATAAAGAAGCAGAGACAGAAGAAAAAGGGAAAAAAACAGCCCAGCAGAGTGAAGACCGAGGGAGACCATTCAAGGTGCACTGCTAAACTGTCTTTTTATCAGCAACGATTACCTCGCCCTGCTAAGAGTCCATATGTCCCTCAGCTGCAGCCTGGGTGCTGACGGCCAGTGACTTACGGTAGATCAGACAGTGCACCTCATTGCTCTGGGTCCACTGTGGCACCCTGGCTCCTCTATCACAAGGGCCAAAGGAATGGAGGCAGATGGACTTACAGTTTGGCAACAGTGGAAGTGTTGGGGGCAGGAGAGAATTAAAGCCGGTGGCTAAACTGGAGAGTAAATAACTTATCTGATCAAAGTTTCATTAAGGATAACAAGGAGGCCACTGGTTCTTGTCAACCTGCCTGAAAGTCCTTCTGGCTTTATTTCTAAACTATGTCTTGAATCTGTCCACTTCTCTCCACGTCCATTGCCAACATCCCTGATCTAGACCAACGTCTGTCATCCCAGCTCCCGTGGCTGCTTCCTAACAGGTCTTCAGCCAGACTCTGCTCCTTCCAGCCCGGTATCTATTCAGCAGCCAGTGTTCTTTTTAAGACACAAATAAAATTATGCCACACCCGTGATTAAAAGCTTCTAGTGACTTTCCATCACACTTGGAATAACATCCTCTTAAAAAAAATGTTGTCAACCATGGCCTACAACAACCTGGCCCCAACCCTCCCATCTCATCTCACAGCAGCCTCCCCGGACTCCTACCAGCCTGGTCTTCTTCCTTTTCTTGAACGTGTCAAGTTCACTTCAGGCTCAGGGACTTAGCACTTACCACTATCTGCCCAGGAATGGTCCACCCCAGATCTAGAGACAGCTGGCTTCTTCTCATCTCTCAATCTTCATATCAAAAAACACCCTCCTCAGAGACGTCTTCTCTGACCTCCCAAAAGCACAGCCTTCATCTCATCCCAACCCCATTACTTATTTTTGTATGACTTCCTGAAGTCTTCTCCTTTCCTTGAGTCAGTCTCCCCTCTTTAGAAGTTTTATGATAACACTGCTGATTCCTTAGCACCACCAACAACACACAAGGCCAAGGTCAGTGTCTAACAGGGGGATGGGTGAAAGATTCAGAGGGAACCCTGCACCCTCTCCAGACCTCATCAGGTCAGACAACCTCTGTGCCCTTCCCCAGACCTCATCTTCCTCAACTGGGTCATAGAATGATAGCTCCCATGATTGCCAAAGTCTCTTTCATAGCTAATATTCTGAGATTCTAAACCAGAGCTTGGCGAATATATTCTGCAAAGGACCAGAGTGTTAATATTTTAGGCTTTGTGGGCTATACAGTCTCTGTCAAAACTGTTCATTTCTGTCACTGTTGGAAAAAGTAGCCACAGATGACACATAAACAAGCGAGCATGGCTGGGTTCCAGTAAAACCCCATTTACAAACCAGGTGGTGGGATGCGTACGGTCGGCGGTCTGTAATTGACTGACCCTTCTTCCTGACACTCTCAGATGGTGGCTGTCCTATCTGACAAACTCTTTGTCCCTATTATCACTTCCAGACCATTACCCCCATCACTCCCTGAAACTCCTGCCTCCCTTGAAGCTCCTGCCCACAGATTGTACCCCTCACCAACCCCTCCCTACTGCCTTCCCTCTGCAGGCCCCCGGCCCCTCGCCTACATTTCTTGAACGAGTTAGCACCTGGCATACGTTTCCCCCCTTCCCTCTGGTGCTAATCCTGTCAAAATCCTCTGTAATTGCAGTCCTATGAACTCAGTGCTTCCTCTCCCCTGGCCGCTCTCATCTCCAGTGATCTTGCCCTCCACCTGCCCTCAGCTACCACCTGCCACTCTTTGTCCCTAGACCTTGTTATCACCAACATGTGCACTTTCCCCGCAAGTCTCTCCTCCACACCAAAGGAACCAGAGGGTTCCTTTTAAGCCACAGTCAAGTCACTTCTCCCCTCGGAACTGTCATGCCTCCCACTCACTCAGGATGAAATGCCAAGTCCACACCAGGGTCCACGTGATCTGAGCCTTAGTTACCCGTGGACCCATCTCCTGCTTCCACCCACCCCAGCACTCACACACTCTCCCCACATTGTCCTCCTTGCTGTTCCTCAAACAACTGGTCCCTACCTCTAGAACACTCTTTCCCTCGCCCCTGACATCACGTGGCCAATGTCTCTCTTTCTTTATGTCTGCTTAGATGCCATGGTATCCAAGAGGCCTTCCCTGGCCACCGTATCTGAAATCGAGCCGCCCTGACTCCATCACCCACTGCCCCCCCCTTACCTGGTTTATTTTTCTTCATAGCACTTGATACAACCTACCATATGTATTTCTTTATATTTTGCTGTTTCTAGAATGGAAGTTTTAGGACAACAAGGACTTTGTCTTCTTCTGCTGTGCCCTCGGCACCAGACCCCAGAGCACGGCCCACAGTAGGAGGTGTGCAACAGACAGTTTTTGAAGTTGTCAACCCAAAGGCACCTTACCTTCTTTCAGGGCTGCCGTCAGTAACGAGGCTGCCTGGGGGGCCTCTCCTGGGTCAGGCTTAATGAGGAGGTGGGGCTCTAGATGGGCATCCTCAAATCCACTCAGCTCTCCAAGCTCAGCATAGATCCGCAGCTTCTCCTCCAAATATGTGCAAATTTGTTGGTCTTGATTAGTGAGGATCTCTATGAAACAGGATTTACCATATGAGCTTATCACTAAGATGAATACAACAATGAACATGAAATCCAAGTTACGAGATAAAAGTGCTGCCACCATGTTTCCCCGAAAATAAGACACTGTCTTATATTTATTTTTTCTCAAGAAGACACACTAGGGCTTATTTTCAGCGGATGTCTTCCTCTCTGCACAGAAATGCATTGCGTGGCTATGCAGCTATGCTGACATCACTAGGTCTTATTATTGGGGTAGAGCTTATATTTAACAAATGCATAGAAATCCTGCTAGGACTTATTTTGGGGGTAGGTCTTATTTTCAGGGAAACACGGTAATTAGCAAGCAGTATGGTCTGAAGGTAAGGCCGGGTTGTTCAGTGGAAAAGCTCCAGGTTCAAATCCTAACCATCCACTTAGCAACTCTGGCCTCCAGTGAGCAATTTAACAACCCTCTCAGCTTCCACCGTCTTTTCTGTAAAGAAGGTTTCTTTCCCATTCTCCTAATTCCAGAAAAACTTACAAAGCTATTCTTTGTTTACTCAGGCTGTTTTCCATTAAGACTAAACATTAAACTCAGGAATGAAAATTGAGGCGGCACTGTCCACGATGAGTGAATACCCACAGGAGGAAACCAGGCAGAGCCTGTAACCACTCAGGCTTCAACTAGTTTGGGTTAAAACCAAACATGCCAGTTTATGTTTTTCTTTCTAAACATCCAATTTGTTTGACCAATTTTTGCGTGCATCATTTTCCTCCGATTTCAACATGCTACAGAATTCTTAAAGCTCAGAGGGACTTTAACTAGCATCTCATCCAGGAATTCTCAGTCCTCTCTGTACCTCAGAATCACCTGGGGAAGAGTTGAAAACACTGATGTCTACAGCCAACCTCCCACACATTCTGGCTCCATTGGTTGAGGGCAGGGCTCAGGCGTCAATATTTGTAAAGTCTTCCCTAATGATTCAAAGTCAAGTCCTAGTTGAAAATCACCAAGCTAATTTCCTTACTTCATGGATTTGGAAATAGAGAGCAGGATCTACTCAGTTCCTTATCCAAGACATAGAAAGATGATATGGTGGGGGTGGGACCTCAGAGTAGGCCATGAACAGTTTCAATGCCTAGCTGTACCAACTGCCCACAGTTGGTGTTTCTTATGTGTCACGTGCATTCTGTAAATATTTTAACACACTTAACTGCCATGTGAGTTGTATTTAACTTACACTAGTTTTGAGCTTGGGTCTCATGAAGCATATGTAACTCACAGGACTCTTGACCTATCTTGACCTAATAAAACACCACAGGCCCAAGGAAAAAAAAGCTTTTTCTAGTGTGGCAATCAAGGTGTTAATCATGAAGGTGGAGGGAGCAAGAAAGTCATCTTACTTGAGTATTTCTAGTGCAAATATTTGTGTGGAAGGAGGACGGTTAGGTTGTACTTTAAGTGTGCAGAATTAATCACTTAGTCATAACCTTCCGTTCATGACTCTCGGGCTTTCCCAAAACCTAAGCAGGACCCTCCGACCAGGAGCTGGAGTGTCTGAGTGTACCTTGACATTGCTGAATCTTGGCCACTCTGGCTTCAGCTTTCCTCCTCTCTTCGTCAGATTCACTTGTCCTTCCCCCTTCTTCTTCGGGGCAACTTTAAGAGACAAAAGTTAAGAGACATAACTGAAGCTAAAGCCAAGTATCTGTAGGTTCATTAGAAAAACATGGGCACTTGGCATCAGAATTCTTCATAAAGGAGAAAAATTCAGCATAGAGAGAATTCATCATGCTCCCTGGCCAACAGACTTGGTTTCCTGAAGTATGTAAATTGCTTCGCATAATAGAACATGGCTCTCAAAGTCAGCAGTGCAGGGTGACTCAAATATTCCAACAAACACAAACATATACTCTCTCATACACACACACTCAGTACCAACGCTGGCATTAGGTGTAACTAAAATGAAAAGTTTTGCTTTTTACTATATTTGGGCATTTCTATTGTTAATGGGGATCGGGCAGAAGAGTCATAGGGGATACACATAGGTGCAGATTGGATGGGGTGCAGTGGAGGCAGAGGAATATCATATAACTTCAAGATCCAATCAAATTACTGTTAAGAATGATCACTCCCATCCTTGAGCTCCCAATTGTAAAAACTGTCCTTGCACAAGCAATCAGGAATAAATTGACTTAGAATACTTAGATCCACCAATTTAGCAACATTTACTGAGTGCTTCTCCAGTAGGAGGAACAAACTGAAGACATGGTGCCTGCCCTCGAGGGGCTTCCAATCTAATTAAATAAACACACATCTATATATACATAAAAGAGATAACAGCAACAGGGCAGAAAATGACAAGCAGGAAGGACTTGCTTTAGAGAGCAGGTGTTAAAGGATTTCAGGTAAGGGAAGGAACTCTCAATGACGGAAGAGGTCCTCACGATGGAGGGGAGACTCGAGCTGCGGCCAAGCCGGGTGGGGCCCGCACAGGCAGGAGGAGGCGAGGGTGTTACATGCAGGGAGGTGCGGACGACAGGGCTGCAGATGGGGAGGCTATCGCAGGTGGGGGACGGGGGCAGAGAACAGACAACTCTGGCCGAGGAAAGTTTTCACGCAGGGGAGACATGGTTAGAAGACCTTTCCCAACTGAACAAATCTGTTCCATAGATTCCAGACAGAACTATTACCTCTCCACTGCCTGCTGGATCCGTCTCATCCAGTTGTTCCGTTCCTCCTTGGAATTGGTGTGGATTTCATACATCTCAGGCCCCGCAGATGAAGCGCTGATCAGAAACATTCCTCTCTCCTCATTAGCAACTTCTCTAGCAATGAGCTTCTGAAGAGAAATAACGGACGGCTTCTGATCCTGTCAAAAGTAGGAACATGTGGAGATGAAACAGCATCCCATCCGCAGTAAGGCTCTTCCAAAACAGGAGCTAGAGAAAGCAAGGGTACTTGTTTCTTTTTTCACTTTCAACCTTTTCAAAAGGGCTGTAAAAGTTGGCAAGATCTCCAACGGTGCTAAGATCTCCAATGGAGAGGGCACGGAGGAAAGAAGAGGAGAAAAGGGGGTTTAGGCTGGGGAATGTTTGTCTTTAAGAATTAGTGGTTTAAAAGGGCAACTTTTAAAGGCAGAATGAGAGAAGGAAAATGTATATACACACATATGTATATATATTATTCTTCTGAGATATATAGGAAAGAAAATAATATATATATAATATAGGAAAATATATATATATACACATATATGTGTGTATATACATTATCGTTTTGAGATATATATATGTAGTTAAGGGAGAAAGAATTTTTCCAGGAGGGATGGGATAGGCAAGTTTCTCAAAAATCACAGAGATTGAGAAAGACGGCGGGCCTGACGAGTCCATTAGAGTTTGCAGTTTACAGCAACATGATTTCAATCAGGTGATGGGAACAGGAGCTCAAAACCTAAAAAGATGGCTGTAAAAGTGGAAGGTAAGAATAAGCAGGCCACAGCCAACGTCTTCTGTTGTTGTACAGATCACAGCAACAGAGCTGGAGTTTCAGCTGTAAATGCCTCTTCTCACCAATCAGAGGAGCCCTCATAGTCAGGAATTGGTCACAGCCATCCTCACAGGCCTCGCACATAAACTTGCACAGAGTAGGCACTCAAAATATGCCAGGAGGCAGAATTAGTTTTACATAATTCTAAAAGAGGGGAACAGGAAGAACGTCTCTAGTTTGGCAGCTAAGCCACAATGAAAGCTTCTCTTCCACCGACATTTGCTACGATCCTCCCGTGTCCGCTTTCTGGGGATTCAAAGATGAACACCACACCGATAATACTGACTTGCTAGGCAGCTGCAGGGGAAGGAACGGCCAAGAGAATGCCCCCAGGATGAAGCACTTTGGGGTTGATCTGCAGAAACTTCTTGGGTTTGTGGCTTCCACCACTGTTTACAGAGGTGGCTGCAGTGTGTGGTTTGGAGTCTCCCTCACGGGCTGAGTGACGCCTTGACTCAGAACATGCCACTCTGTCCACAACTGCTGACTCCTTGGTGCTGGCCTGTCAGCTTCCCCAGCTTTACACAGCTTGGGTGCATCAGCCATTGTGTGCCAGGGGAAGAACCAGAGCACCCCCAAAGACACCCCACAAGAATAAACATACGATGGGACTAGATCAGTGCTCTGTCTCTGAAAATGGAAACAAAAGAAACTTTGTGGCAGAACGTTTGAATGCTGCCCTCTCTCACCAGGGAGATCTTGTCAGCTTTGTCAATATCCCTTGTTCTATTGTGAATCTGCTTTCTAAGACCTTACTCCTTTTCCCTGATTCAATGTACACTTTTACCTGCCTCAGCTTACAAGGTTAGTGGTCTCTACGTGTAAAAAGGCAGAGTGGGTTTGACTTGCTTCAGACATGAGCAAGACATCAGCACAGTCAGTGTTTTGGTGGGAGGGGAAATGGCAAGATAAGATCTTTTAAAAGTGAAGAATAGGTAAGTGGTAGAACGTAGCACTCATTCAATCACCGTCAGACCAGGAGGCATCGGAGATGTCCACACTAATCACACACAAATACTAGAAATGCACAAAAGTTCAAATTAAATCCCCCGGAATGGAAGTCACACGTCTGCTTGCTTTGGAGACATCAGCCTACAGAGATGTTCTGTTTGTGCATGGCATTTAAAACACAGATTTTCAAAATAAATTCTCAGCACTTAAATATTGGGAGATTCAATATTTAAACTCTAGATTTCTGGGTTCTTAGGAAAAGCAGAAGATGGCAATCCCGGCCCCACATTTTCATTTAAAAACCCTGGCTATCGCTGAGCTGTCTTTGAGACAAGGCGTATACGCACTCTCCACTACAATCTCTATCTCTCTGTTGCTTCCTTGGTTCCAACCCTGTTTGGATCACTGGCTTACATTTCCTGCCCAATCCCTACTGGCATGTGGAGCTGAAGACCTCAACATAGGAGTGGGGGAAAGGAGCTGCAATTCATAGCCTTGTTATCCGCACTGTGCTGATTCTACTTATTAGCAAGTGATTCCACTGTGATCAAAGAACCTTAAGGTTGCTTCATAGTTTGAACTTGAACTCGCAGACCTCTGTGTTCACTATGTCTGCTTTTGAAATTACTTTCTTTGATGTTCAGCAGATTCCTTCTAGATGCAGTATTCCAAGACTTAGTGAACACATTTACTTTTTCCTATAAATTTTATAAGTTTGGGTCTTACCCCTATTTCCTACTAAGTCCCCTTTAAAAATAAAAATAAAATAAAACTTTCCGATATGGATGCTATTCCATCTTCCTGCAACTTTCAGCTGCTTATCTTCCGGCTATTTCCAAACGTACCGTGTTTTCTGTAACAACACAGAGTGAGACAGGCAACTGCTAAAGAAGTTTTATCTAAAGGCCACAAGAAGTGGAGCATCTCGCCTGTACGAGGGTGAGAATAATGTTCAGAAATACTAGGGTAGGAACTAGAAAATCCAGATACGTGTACACCCTTAACTAATGCTTCAATTCCCCACAATAGTAACTAAAAAATATTTACGATACATGGGCTGTGGTCAGAGTAACTCAAAAGTATATGAACAGTAGGGTACACTTAATTCATTAAGGATAAGATAATCCTTTTTCTGGTTGGTGCCTGTGGCTCAAGGAGTAGGGCGCTGGCCCCACATGCCAGAGGTGGTGGGTTCAAACCTTGCCCCCAGCCAAAAAAAAAAAAAAAACTGCAACAAAAAACAATCCTTTTTCTTTTGCTTCCTGATACCACCAAGGGCTTGGCTGGCCTTTATGAATGGAGCTACATGTCAGAGTAACATCTTTAAGAAATGGCAACAGCAGTTGTCTTACTGTAGTACACAGTTAAACACATTCCATCAAGAGAAGCCGCACTGTGACTGCCTTCATCCTGGCATTCAGTGGATTGCCATTCCTAGCGTCCCACTTAATAGCAAATGTGATCTATGGGTGGCAGAAAAAATGCCTGAAGACGTCATATGAGACAAGAGGAACAGCTCCACATTAAAAGTCACTTAGTAAAGTTGAGCACCACAGTTTGGTCTGAATTCATATGCTAGGCTATCCTGGAAGACAAGATAACTGTCTTTATGCTGTGTCTAACTCATGACCAGTTGGCAGGACAAACCACCCAAGATGCAGAATTTGCTCCTCTTTCAGATTTTGAAGAAACATTGGTTTCTATAAAGATACGATGCAAATTTGTTTTCTTTACCAGCAGGGGCATCACCACTCTATGGGTTAAGCAAAATGGTAGGCACCTCCCACTTACTTTCTCTGTGTGGTGTATCAGATAATAGCACACAGAGACTGCCAGGCAGATTAGTAGGTTTTCATGAAATTACAATAGATATGGTTCAAACGGATTGAGGACACAGGGACTCGTTCAAGGCTTCTTATTATCCTCTGGCATAGCTCTGTGAAAGGTCTTTGACCTTTATACAACTCAGCATCATTGTGCCAGTGAGAGGCAACGTGCCCCTCAGGATGAAGAAGGCACTGGAGCCAGCCTGACAAGCACAGAAAGGCAGCTGCAGCCCCGCCCCAGCCTCTTCCCCCCAGAATCCCACCAGCGGCCAGATATGCTTCTTTGTTTTCTCTGAACAGTATGACAAAAAACTTCATTAAGCTTTGAATTAGCAAAACCAGTTGGAAATGTGACATCTGCTGATGGCCCCGAGACATCCTCTCATCCAGTGGCTGATAAACACCAGCACTGCGGAGAGCCAGCGGTCCACGGGCCTCACGGGTGTGGTGTCCTGGACTCTCATCTAACAGGGCCTGATGCTCCATGATGCTAACAAGGAATCACTGCTGGCCTCTTCCTGCCTTAAGCCAGTGTGGGCCACACAGATTGTGTGTAAGAAACGCTGTAAATACTGGTTTCGTTGCTAGTCCATGTGCCCGCCATGAGATTAATCTAACACACTACAAAGATAAATGTTCCATGAATGCCCTTAGTGATTAGTAGCCATTTTAGTAAAAATAAGAAAGACTCTCCTTTAAGCTTTACATAGCAGGATGGCATTTTCTTCTTTGGCAGAAGGAACACCGTGGCAGTTATGAATGGGGTTGACAAGCCATACAGCAAGGCAAGAGGGGAGCGGAGAGTGTGGGTGCCAGCAAGCACTGCCGCATTAGTTGCTAGATGTGATAGAAGGGAGTTTGGGGTCCAGGGGAGGTGGTTCTAGGGGAAAGAACCTAGATAGCCAGACGACAAGCGGGTACTTGGCCGGGGCAGGGGAGGGGGATCAGGGAAGTGCCTATTTACCAACTGGTACCGAAGTACTCCAATACCTTTACAATCGGAAAACTGCTGGACCAGGTAACTCCCAGCACTGGCTGTGATAAATCAACACTTACCAGGCTAATTCAACCCAATTAGAGGTGTGTTACTAAACACTGCAATTATAAATAATACTAGGAATATAGCAGGAGCATATTCTTACTTGTAACCATTTTATTTTACTAGGAATTCTGGGCATTTTCCAAGGAAACGTGCGATTAAACCTATTTTTTAAAAAGGCATCACGTGTATCATACTTACAACAGCTGCAAAGATGTATTTCTGGTCTTTTTCTTGTAAAAAGAGCAGCACATCAGTTAGAAGTAGAGCTAGGATATCTTTAAAAACAAAAACATTACTGGTATTAATGAAGCAAATTACAGTTTAAATGCCTTTATTAAATCTTCTGATTTCATACTGGAAATTTAAATCAATGTAATAAAAATAAAAAGACTAAGTTTTAGTCTATGTATGAAGACTTTTTATAAACATACCTGCATTGTGATAACCAAAGATCCATGTTATGGGTAACTTTGGAGACAGCTGTGTTTAAGTGTGCGTGTTTGTGTGTATAACTGTAGGTATAGCTAAACCACCAGCAAAATTTAATATAGCACCTTTCAAAACAGAAGCTAAATACTTTAAAAAAGAAAGTTCTAATAGAATGGAGCAAGCCCTTACCTAGAGGGCAGAAAAGTGCTTACTTAAAAATGTAAGAGGGCAGCTGCTGCCTCGACTGATATAAGCAAAGCTGGTATTTTGTGTCATCCAGACCTGAATGAGGTTTACGATTCCACGCTTCCCTTACAAATTGCACACAAGAACTCATCCTTACTACAGAGTCTAACACAAGGTTACCAAACTGGTTCTACTAAATGGATAAGAAGTAAATGACTTGGAGGAATAGATGTACAGATTACAGTTAATATTGTTTCAATACAATATTGTAAGTGGCCAACTAACAAATCCCCTTTCCGATATCAGGTGCAACCCCCGTCAAAACCTGATCATCCTCCCAAAGATAACAACCTCTGAGCAGCTAGAATTTAGCCACCTTATCCTCTCATTGCTCACCTATGGGAGTTAGGAAGATAACGTGCTAGAAACAGTGGTTCTGACCCTGGCTGCACAGTAGACTCGCCTGAGAAGCTTTGCAATATCCCTTGGGCTAGGGCTTCATGGCTATGTCAAAAATAATCAGAACCTCTGAGAGGAGATCTGTACATTAGTCATTTTTATAAGCTCCAGGGTGAATCTAGTGTGTGGCCAGGGCGAGAAAGCTAGCATGGGGCAATGTGCTACACAGTCAGACCTTAAGAACTGGAGTCAACTGCTCCAGATTCTAACCAGATTAACAGAGTCAAGGTCACGTCCATTAGCAAACAGCAGCAGGGAGAAAGAGCTTACACCAGTGTCAGCATGTACAGGGATGAATTCTGTTACTCAGTAACAAAGATGACAGTCAGACTTCTTTCCATTTCCCCCCTCCCTGGTCTGACAGTGCCAGGCTGGCTTGGCACACAACAGGCCCTAAGTGTGTAGGTGCACTGCCTTGCTTTCAACACACCACATTTGCCAGAATGCTGCATTCATTTGTGGCAAACATTAGCAGAACTCTCAGTTCCTTTGATTTTCGACATCATAAACTTGCAAATTGATAAAAATATATAAAAGCTTTTGCTTGGGGCAGCAAACTCTCACCAAAGATTTGTATCATTGCCCATGTTTGACTATTGACATTCACAACTGACCAGGGTTTGTGTATTGTATGCCTGCACTGCTGAAGCATTTTTCTTATAAAACTCCATCCATTGTTGAATGAGTAACATGGACAAAAGCAGGAGAAACGGGTCTGGTAGAGCCGGTACCTTTGAAACGACCCGTGGCAGTTTTCCAGTAAACAAGGCCGTCATACAACAGAGTCCTCTCTTTACTTAGCAGAGCCTGCTTCCTAAACACGTGGCCATTTTTGAGCTTTGTGTAGGTTTTGTTTTCAATCTTATTTAAGATCTCAAGCCATTTTTGGTTTTTCTCATACTCGTTGACTTTTAAATCCACTGTTGCAATCATGTCTTTAATTAAGCCAAGAGCTTTGCACAAGTCTTTATGCTCTTCAGTTCTTTCTGTATGAAAAGTAGAAAGAAACAAGAACACGATAAGCAGGGTGCTGAGGAAGAAAAATCAATTTTTTTAGTCTTTAAATATACTTAAATATATCATCCAAATGACAAATTCCTGTAAGAAAAATGTTGGGGCTCGGCGCCTGTGGCTCAAGCGGCTAAGGCGCCAGCCACATACACCTAAGGTGGCAGGTTCGAATTCCCAGCCCGGGCCCGCCAAACAACAATGATGGCTGCAATCAAAAAATAGCCAGGCCTTGTGGCGGGTGCCTGTGGTCCCAGCTACTTGGGAGGCTGAGGCAGGAGAATCACTTGAGCCCAGGAGTTGGAGGTTGCTGTGAGCTGTGATGCCATGGCACTCTACCCAGGGGGATAGCTTGAGGCTCCGTCTCAAAAAAAAAAAAGAAAAGAAAAGAAAAAGAAAATGTTGGAATAAATTCAATTATAATACTTTATACCTTCTCCCTCTCATCCCCCCCAAAACCTCCATCTTTTAAAATATTTGATTTTAAAAGAAGATGTGGCACTCTCTCTCCTTCACTCTCTCATGCTCTCTCTCCTTCCAAGAAGATAAAATAAACCTTTTTACCAAAAAAAAAAAAAAAAATGTGCATTATTAAATGTACTTCAGCTGACAATAAGATATCTGAGTAGTAGGCAACGCCTGTGGCTTAAAGAAGTAGGGGGCCGGCCCCATACACCAGAGGTGGTGGGTTCAAACCCAGCCTCGGCCAAAAACTGCACAAAAAGAAAAGATATCTGAGTAGAATTTGTCTGGTGTTCCCCATGGAGCAGACAATGTGAGTTAATACTAACTTACACCCTCCTTCCATCTTCCCAGAGACTACTAATCAAGTCATCCCCAGACCAGGTTTCTTAGAACTTCACTCCGCTGTGGGGCCACATCAGTGTTCTCTCTGGAGAAATGGAGCCTCAGTGTGACTCTGAACGGCCACAGGCTCATCTGCCATCCTGGATCCTTCCTCCACACATATGATATTCAAAATTGCATTTTATAACTTCATTAGCATAAAAATGAATGTGTTGCTTTTATAATTAAACCATTTTCTTTGACCTAAACTTTCTTTTTCTTCTAAGTATCAAAGAAATTAAAATGTGTCCTAGGCACTGTGCCTAATGGGTAAGTCAGCCACACTCGTGCCAGAGCAAACAATCCTTGGCTTCAGATGTTATTCTTGACTGCACTGGCCACCTGCTCTTATCTCTAGATTATCTTAAGAAAATACTCTGGAGGAGTTTCTGGAACACATGAAAGTTGCATTTAGCTATTTTCTCTATTTGATGATAAAGACCACCTCGTGGGTGTTTACTGAGGTGACTGGAAACGAAAAGTAAAGTTGCAGAAGGTCAGAGGCGCTAGGAGAGGAAAAAAGAAAAACTGGCCCATAAACCAAGAGCCCAGAGCAGCCGGAAAAAACCCTCAGACACAGCAGAGAGGTGGGGAGGGGACAAGTTCACCCAAGGGGCTAAACATTTCCACATTCTAAATATCTTAAACAGAAAGGAGAGGGTTTTATCAGAAGATCTCAAGGAGCAGATCTGATACCATCTTTAACACGGAAGATTCTTTCTCACTGCCTTTCACTGTCACAGAAAACACCTGCCCACTCTACTGTCCCTGACCCCACGAAGCCCCTCCCCTCCAAGGAAAGGGAAGGTACACTATGTTTATATTCTCTTCTGCAATACCTCAAGGACTAGAATCTAGTACTCCAAGGGTCATCCTGTGTAAAATCTCTGATAGAATAATTAACAATTATCGGCCACTGTGTGTCAGAAACTGCAAGCGTGGCTTATGGCTCCATGGGCACAGTTGGCATGCAGCTGAATGGCCACCTCCTCCTTTGGTCACTACCAATGGCCAGTCAACTCCCTGAGCTTCTGGGGACACGGCTTTATTGGCCTTGCCCTTCATCTGGGGATCTTGTTTATATCAGATTCTGATTCGGTAGGTCTGAGGTGAGGTCCAAAGTAACACTTTTGACAAGACTCCCAGGTGAGGTCACCACTGCTACACTTTGAGGAGCAAGGCATATAAGATAGTAATTTGTCTCCACAAGTCAAAAGACTTTGAGCCCTTTCTTGGCCTTAACCCAAGTCATGTGAAACTCAACTTTAATATTGTCTTCACTCAGCTTTCCTATTTGTGACTGATAATAATAAAGGCAATAAAAACAGCTCCCCCTTACTGAGCACCTTGCTTATACCAGGCTCTGCACTGGGCGAGTTGCCGAGACCATCTCACTCAGTCTTCACAATGATTCCATAACATTAGGATTATTATCCCCATTGTGTAGTGGAAAAAACAGAGGCTCATTTAATTAACTTGCCCAACTAATGAGTGCCAGAGCCAACTACAAAAAACAGCAATTTTGTACACAACTCCAAACTAATCCCCTGTTAATACAGCATAACTGTCATTCTAATAAGCAATACTCTATAGCTGGAGGATTAGACATTTTTATTCATTCATTCATTGCACTAATACATTTTTGTTTATTGAGAGTTTTCTGCACCAGCCATTGCACTAGACATTAAAGACCCAGGATGCACGCCCTATAGATCCCACAAGGAGCTTACAGTCCAGCCAGGTGCATTAATAGCTTCTTAAGAGATGGCCAGATATTACTGCCCAGAACTTGATGAAGGGACAGGATCTAAGTAGCTCCTCCATTTAATCCTTCTCAATCTAATCATTTATTGCTCGGAGAGTTAAAATTTAGTGACAGGATGACTAGCAACATGTTTCATGAGACTGCTGTGAAGGTAACAGGAAGACAAAGATGAGGAGATATTAAAAGGCCCATAAGCAGGGAAATAAAGAGAGGAAAGGCAGGGTCAAGGACTGAGGAAGCTGCTCGGTTTGGGCTACTTGTAGAGATTCAGATGATTAGCCAAACTGCATTATAAAAGATAATTTCTTACAATGAATCCAAATTCCAAAGCTTTAACAGTTTACCCATAATGAAAGTCTTTATGAATCAGAGGCCACAAACACTCATAGCTGCTTAGGACACCTCAGCTATGGGTAAAACTAATAAGAGAGGCAAACGTTTGTCCAGAAGTCAGAACTCACCCTTTGTGTACTGCAATATCCTTTCCACCAACACAGGGTATTTAGTGATGCGCTGAGTGACCAGCAGAATGCATTCTGGAATTCCTCGGCGTCGAGCTAAAAGATTACTATTTTGGAGCTTAAAAAAAAAAATATATATATATATATATATACACACACACACACACATTTTTATATACACAAATTCTACCCATATTTACTCTGTACGTATAAATTTTAAAAAATAAAGAATCTGTAACAATTCAGTTCAATTCTATTCAGACTTAACATAATATTCATCATCATTAATTAAAATAATACATTGTCAGGCAGTGCCTGTGGTCAGTGAGTAGGGTGCCAGCCCCATATACTGAGGGTGGCAAGTTCGAACCCGGCCCTGGGCAAACTGCAACAAAAATGTAGCTGGGTGTTGAGGTGGGCGACTGTAGTCCCAGCTACTCAGGAGGCTGAGGCAAGAGAATCGCTAAGCCCAAGAGCTGGAGGTTGCTGTGAGCTGTGATGCCACATTACTCTACTGAGGGTGACACAGTGAGACTCTGTCTCTACAAATATATATATATAAATAAAATAATACAGTGTCATTAACTTAAAATGAATCCTTTGTCATTAATTTCCATACAATAACTGTCCAAGATTTCAAAAAGTTTCAAGTTCCTCTGATGTATTTGTAGTTAATTCCAAATGTGAGCAAGTTCTAATACTTCCGAGTACCAGAATTCATGAATAGCAAAAGTTTTTGAAAGCTAAACAGGAATCAAAGTCAGATTTTGAACTTGAGATGGCAGTGTACTGTTTGTTTCTCCAACAGGTTTTCCTCTGCATTTGTTATTATTCATTATTATACTTAAAGTTCCCTCTAATCAGGGGACTTTTTTTCTCTAAAAATCTCAAAGTATTACTTAATTTTTCCAGTTCTCAACACACATTTCTGTGGGAAGAAAAGGGAGGGACATATGTAACATTCTTAAAATGGCAGATAAAAATTTAGAATCCAGGCAACTTCATAGGACAAATTTCATCAACAAATAAACTGGAAAGGGGGGAAGCATTCAAACTGAGCTCTAACCTCTGTATACGATATGTGAACCTTGGTCACTTCTCTATTTAGGCAGCCTAATTTTATGAGATAATCAGTAAATTGTGAAGATATCAAAAATAGAAGACACAAAAGGAATGATATGGGAGAAATCTTTTACTAACAGAAAAAGAAACTGCCCGTCTTTGCCACAAACCTACCACCTACCACTTCCTTCACCTTCCCTTAAGAAACAGCACCTAAGGCAGCGCCTGCGGCTCAGTGAGTAGGACACCAGCCGCATATACCAAGGGTGGCGAGTTTGAACCCGGCCCCGGTCAAACTGCAACAAAAAAATACCAGGCGCTGTGGCGGGCGCCTGTAGTCCCAGCTACTCGGGAGGCTGAGGCAAGAGAATCTCCTAAGCCCAAGAGCTGGAGGTTGCTGTGAGCTGTGAATGCCACAGCACTCTACCCAGGTTGACAAAGTGAGACTCTGTCTTTTAAAAAAAAAAAGAAAAGAAAGAAAGAAACAGCACCTAGATAAGAAACTTGTTTAAGTCATATTAAGAAACAACCATTAACTATTTCACCATGCTGGTTTCTTACTTTGTAAGAAAGATTATTTATTGATTGATTTACTTTTTGAGATAGAGTCTCAAGCTGTTGCCCAGGCTAGGGTACTATAGTATACCAGCCTAGCTCACAACAACCTCAAACTCCTAGGTTCAAGCACTCCTCCTGCTTTAGCCTCCCAAATAGCTGGGACTAGCACCTGTCACAACGCCTGGCTAATTTTTCCATTTTTAGTAGTGATGGGGTCTCACTCTTGTTTAGGATAGTCTCAAACTCCTGAGTTTAAGGGATTCTCCTACCTCAGCCTCCCAGAGTGCTAGAATTACAGATGTGAGCCACTGGACTCAGCCATCTAGCTTGAAAATAGCTTACCTTAATAAAATTCTGAAATTTTTTATTCTGCTGAAGTTCTTTAAAGAGGTTCACAGCTTCTTTGTGATGGCTACAGAATTCTCCATAGATTTTCTTCATTTTACTTGCATTTTCTTCTGAAAACTGAGAAGAATAACATTTCAATAATGGTTTGTAAATCTAGTAAGTTCTAAATACAGATCGTGCAATTTTCACATATTTCAAAACATTCTTTACAAATACAGAATATGCATCATGGAATTTCAGAACACAATCACTTCTTTCCCCCTACACACTTTTTAAATTAAAATAAAAGTAGTTGAGTGATAAGGGTCCACTAAACATGATTATATTACATTGAACTAATACAACTATCAAATAGTCAAATGAAAAACATTTGATGCCTTCTAATCTCTCACTTTTCTTTTTTAGCTTCTGTGCAACTTTAGCATTTCAATTTGTATTTTTAATACTTCTATAGATTGAAGAAAGGATATTGGCGATATTTGGAGCCCTCAGGAAAGTCTGGCTTCCCCCCAAAATCAACATGTGTAGTTGGCATTCACTTTGGCTATGGACCAGGTCCATGGACTCAAGCCTCAGTAGGGAATTTGATTTTTGTTTGCACATTACAAGTGGATCACGATGTAGGCCATCATTAGCTAAGAAGACAGACAGTAATGACTAACCAGAATGCCAATTTATTAACTAATGAGAAGAAGTAAAGGTGTGAGCTGGGTGTTTCAATAAGCCTGACTTATAGAAAAGTATCCTTAGAAAAATCTACATAGGAACCAACTTCGAATCATAAAGTGGAATGGAGAGAACTAGCTGAATTACTTGAATGCCAACGTTTTAGACCCTGAGAGCCTTATGTCCATGTTGAAGATCGTTGCAAAAGAAACCAGAACACACCCACCCTACCCTCAAAAAATCTTTAAAAATTTATATCACCATCTCTGGTCTTTTCATCTTTGCTTATAGTTTTTTATCCATGCTTAGGGTCAATATGTCCCTAAGATGATTTTTTTTTTTTTTTTTTGAGACAGGGTCTCACTATTGTCACCTTCAGTAGAGTACCGTAGCATCACAGCTCACAGCAACCTCTAACTCTTGGGCTTAAGCAATTCTCTTGTCTCAGCCTCCCAAATAGCTGGGGCTACAGGTTCCTGCCACAATATCTGGCTACTTTTTGTTATAGTTGTCATTGTTGTTTAGCTGGCCCGGGCTGGATCTGAACCTGCCAGCCTGGGTGTATGTGGCCAGAGCCCTACTGACTGAGCTACAGGCACTGCCTCCAAAGATGATTCTTAACAACACTTACGATCACTCAAAAAAATTAGGCATGGGTCTAAAAAATATATGCAGGACTTATATGCTGAAATGTACACAATTCAGGTGAAGGAAATCAAAGCTCTGAATAAATGGAGAGTTATACCATGTTCACGGGTCAGAAGATGCAAGATAGTAAAGATGCCAATTCTTTCCAAATTAACATACAGGTTTAGTGTAGTTCTTTTCAAAATCTCAGTAAGCTTTTGGTAAATATAGACAAAACCATTCTGACTATTCTTAAATTTATATGAAAAGGCAAAGAAACTAGAACAGCTAAAACAATTTTGAAAAAGAATAATAAGGTGGAAGGACTCAATCCTCTACTGTCTACGGTTATTAAGACGGTATGGAAAGATAGGCACATAGATCAGTGAAACAGAATAAGAATCCAGCAAACCCCAGTGATTTTTGACAAAGGCACAAGAGAGTTCAATGGAGAAGGGTAGCCTTTTCAACAAATGGTCCTTGGAGCAGTTAGACTCCCCCAGCTCCCCCTGATTAAAAATAAAAAATCAGCCCATTTAGTTGCATAGCCTTGTAAAAAAAAATTATCCCAAATGGAACACAAATGAAATATAAAACATAAAACTATAAAAACTTTAGAAAAAATAGAAAATGTTTGGGACCTAGGGCCAGACAAAGAGTTCTCAGATTTGAAAGCAATAGCACAATCCTTAAAAGAAAAAACTGACAACCTGAACTTCATCACAATCAGAAAATGAGAAGACAAGTTACAGATTTGGAGGAAATATTTGCCAATCACATAGCAGACATGTAAAGAAACCTCAATATTCAGAGGTAAGAAAACAAAAAGTTCAATTAGAAAATGAGCAAAAGACATAAACAGGACATACAAACATCAAGAGGATATATGGATGACAAATAAGTATATGAAAAGATGTTTGATATCACTGGCCATCAGGGAAGTACAATTTGAAATGAAATGAGATACTGCTTTATGCCTCTTAGAATAGCTGAAATTAAAAATAAATTAGTGACAAGATCAAATGCTGGTGAGGACGTGGAGAAACTGGATTACTTGTACATTGTAGCTGGGAATGTCAGATGGCACAGCCCCTCTGGAAAACACTGGGAAGCTTCTTATAAAACTAAACACATCATTACCATACAACCCAGAAACTGTCTTCCTGGGTGCTTCTCGCAGGAAAAGGAAAACAGGTTTGCACAAAAACCTGTACACGAATGTTTACTGCAGCTTTATTTGTAAGCGCTAAAACCTGGTAACAAAATGCCACGTCCTCGTGCAAGTGAATGATTAAATAAACTGTGGTCCATCTACACTGTGGAATAGTCTCAGCAATAATAAGGAATAAATTACTGATACACAAAACCTGAATGACTCAAAAAATTACAGTGGCTGAAAAAAAAGCCAACGTGAAAATGATTATGTACTGTGTAATTTCATTTACATAACATTATTAAAATGACAGAATTATAGAAGCAGAGAACAGATTAGTGGGCTGCCAGGAGTTAAAGGAGAGGTGGGGGCAGGGAAGAAGTGAGTGTAGATATAAAAGGGACAGATGTGAAATCCTTGTAGCCATACCATGTTTCCCTGAAAATAAGACCTACCCAAAAAATAAGCCCTAGCAGGATTTCTATACATTTGTTAAATATAAGCCCTACCCCCATAATAAGACCTAGTGATGGGCGTGGCTATACAGCGTATCTGCATAGCCACACCCTGCATTTTGGCGTGGAGCAGTAAGGAAGACTGGAATACCTTTTATCTGACACAGCTCCTTTCTCTGAGACCTTCACACTTGTGCGGGTGCACATGTAGTTACTGCAGTAGCAGGCATCCTATTGCGCATGTGTGAACGGCTAGGGGAAAGGAGTTCACGCATCACTAGTGCCAGCCCCACCAACAAGGTCAGCTCCCCCTGTCAGGTTCCAGAAGAAGATGACTTAACTGTATTTGAATAAATGTAGATTGTTGTACTATGCTTAATAAAAGTAAGACATCCCCTGAAAATAAGCCCTAGTGTGTCTTCCTGAGAAAAAATAAATATAAGACAGTGTCTTATTTTTGGGGAAACATGGTATAAATGTTCTGAATCTTGACTATATCAACGTCAGTATTCTGGTTGTAATAGTGTAGTATAGTTTTCCAAGTTACCATGGAGGGGATCATTAAAAAAATTTCTTTTTAGGAAGTCATCTGGTTTAATGTCTCTGTGTATAAAGTTCTTTGCACAATACTACTGATTATCTGCTGAGTTAACCAACAGACATTCATTGTGAAACTTCATTTTTTAGATTTCAGATTAATATCCGGGTGCAAACAGTTACATTGTTTGCATTTGATACCTAAAAGTCCAAGTTGTAGTTGAGCCCTTCGCCCAGGAGCCATGCCACATTTTTAAATGCCAAATCCCAGATCCCACCTCAATCCCACGGAAACAAAACCACTGCTGGTTGGAGCGCACAACTCCTCATTCTTAACAAACTTCAGGTGATTCATATGTACCTGAAGTTGGAAAACAACTGTAGATACCAACCACATTCCTCACACCTGTATTCACAACTTCTCACCAATACCAAGAGTCTCCACTAAACAAATGACATCATACTGCCGCCCAGGCTGCTGAGATCAGATTGTGTTTCCCTGGTTAGAGGTGGGATGTCCCCAAACCCTGCTCTCATATATCCCTAACAGTGTGTCTCTTCCTTTGTCCCCACAGAGCACCACACTCACAGCCCTGAGGATTTTGCTAATTTCATCCTTAAGAAACCCCTTTATTCACAAAGACATATTGACGGGACCCCCTGTCATACAGCCATGGCCAACTGGAAGACAAACACACACTTAAATCCTTTTTTCTGAATACTAAGGATCGTTTCCCCAAAGGTGAAGTGTGTGCTTCATTCAAGAGACCCCCAGTCTCACACTGTTGACTGTGTGTAGCCGAACTCCCAAACTTTGCTCTCAATTTGAGATTTGTTTTATCCACAGAAACTGAATGAACATACAACTAACAGCTGTGCAACTTCATAGTTAACACTACAAATGTAACTTAAGAATGAAAATGGTTTAAATGATTAGAATTAAAAGGTGGTAAAGTCATGATTATTTGTATCAAGGAAAAAAAGGTGCAAAGCATTTCAAATGATAAATTTCATTTTTGAATACACTCAGATTCAAGTTTACTTGGATACATGCTGACATTTTTATTACCCTGTCTTGCAAAGTACTTTAGAGCTACTTAACTGGGCCCCACCAGTGGGCACCTAGGTTTCAGGTCAAATATGAGGACAGAACAGGTCTAGGACTTGAAAGATAATATGTAAAGCACATATTATTTTGATAAGGTATTTATTACTAATGTGGATTTTTACATTCTTAGATATGTAGGAGTAGCTACTAGGCAAGAAATCTTAATTTTTGTTTTTTACATTAAAATTATTTATGCTTCAAAATATTTCTATTGATGAAGTTACCTCCCCCATTTTTAGCATACAGACCGACAGCTAGACTCTGTTGCTATATAAGACAAGGTGAAACTGCTTCAAAAATTAATACTTTTGGAGAAGGTGGTATTTTGGCATCTACCCCTAGAAAGCCACTTTAAAGCAATTACCATCAGATGGATCTCTTTGCTTTTTCCCAAGGGCTATTGGCCACTGTTAAACATGACATTCAAAAGAATTCCTTATTGCTTTTTCCTAAGTGGCTCATCCATTCAATAAATAGAGTACCAAGCACTGTTCTGGGTACTAACATACAGTAGCAATGGATCCCTGGCTTACTGGGACTTTCAGTCTAGTGATGGTAAATGCTTCCCTCAAACTTATGAACATCTCAAGTTATCACTTTCTTCACTTGTGTTGATAAAAGAGCAAATTTTAAGTCAGATCCCACTGGGTCATTTCTGAGATATATGAGTTTGAGAAAGTCATTGCCTTCCCTAGGCCTCAGTTTTTATATCTGTATGATGGGAGAATAACATCTACCTTACAGTGCTGTTAAGGTTAGATGAAGTCAGACACTAAAGCAGTGAGTAAAAGTGCCTGCCACATTAGAGTCGCCAAATACATGTTATCCACGTTTCTAATGGAGAGTCCTCTCAGAGAGACTGGGAACCAATGGAGATTAGCAAAGCGGGGGTGACTGTTGTTTTATTAGGAGGATGACAGAGCAAATACTCGCTCATGCTTCAAACACCCTGAGTCTTTAAAAAGTGCCTTCTCTTAGTGAGATGTGCTTGTTTTGTCCCCCAGGCATAAACTCAAAGGCTATAACAATAATAGATCAGCCTCACCCTTCCTAAGAGGAGCCAACATTTGTCTTGGAGACACTAGTGAGATCATCGTGGGCCTGCCAGGGAAGCCACATTATTAGAGAGCTCATCACATCAAAAGTCTAAGTAGACTTTTCATAAGGGGATTACTTTATGGCCGTGACTCCTGGTGGAGACAGCAATAGGGCCAGGGATGGTCTAGCCAAGTAACACACAGGAGAGCCAAGCATTGAATTGTTAAAAGCTCTCATGCACCAGTTCTGCAGACCAACCTCAAAAAATCCAGTCAAACGAATCTGGAAGTAATCTTCATGAAATCAATGCCATTTCTCTGTAGGTTTTTAACACTGTAGTAAAGAATCTGCCAACCTTTAGGTTTCTGAGGTCAGGGCCTTTAAAACCTCCCTTACCTGTTGTACCAGAATGTCTCCAATTCGGTTGATCACAAAATTTCTGTCGTTGCCAACAGAGGATTCCTGCCTTCGTTCCTTCATACTGTAGAAGAAATGCCTGTGGATTTCGAGCAACTCATCTAAACAGGGGAAGATTTTATCCACGGTGCTATGGTCCAGCTGCAGCTCCTCCTTCATGCCCTTCCTGAAGATCTCAGCCATGATGAACAGGGTCTGGATGTGATGCATCTCCGTCTGCATCAGCTCTGAAATGTGTGAGCAGAAACACAGGAGGTTTTACTTGTTTGTTTTGTTTTGTTTTTTCTTCTGAGACAGAGTCTCACTCTGTAGCCCAGGCTAGAGGGCCAAAGCAACCTCAACCTCCTGGGTTCAAGTGATCCTCCTTCCTCAGCCTCCTGAGTAGCTGGGACTACAAGTACCCACCACCAAGCCTGGCTAATTTTTCTATTTTTAGTAGAGATGGGGGTTTTGCTCTTGCTCAGACTGGTCTCGAATGCCTCACCCTTCCAGAATGCTAGGATTACAGATGTAAGCACCACAACTGCCCCAGAAACATGTTTTAAACAAACCTTAAAAACAAGCCTCCTAAGGCCGGGTGTGGTGGCTCACGCCTTTAATCCAGCACTTGGGAGGTGGAGGTGGATGGATTGCCTGAGCTCACAGGTTCAAGACCAGCCTGAGCCAGAGGGAGACCCTGTCTCTAAAATTAGCTGGGCATTGTGGCAGGCACCTTATAGTCCCAGCTACCTGGGAGGCTGAGGCAAGAGGATCACTTGAATGCAAGAGTTTGAGGTTGCTGTGAGCTAAGATGCCATGGCACTCTACCAAGTGAGACTCTATCTCGGAAAAAAAAAAAAAAAAAAAGAACAAGCCTTTAACCTAAATTATTAGCTCAACATTATAGGTTACACAAATAAAAGAGAAAGAATGTTTCGGTATAACAAGAATATTTCTTCCAATACAAAAGCCAACATTGACTAAACATTTAAGTTTAAAATAGTAAACCATTTTCCTTTTTCTAGATATTAAAAGAGGATTTTTGTATATCAAGTCCAATATGTAAGAATCTAACATATCTGAGACTCTCATAAATATAATTAGCTAGCCTCTCTAGATAACATTCAGCTAGCAACTAGGTCTTATGCCTCCCTGAATGGTCTATGAAATACAGCTTAGTTTTCTAGTTTCTTTCTTTCTGCAGTTTTTTGCATTGAGTAGGAGCACGATTAATTAGGTGAATTAAACTGAACTAAAGTTCCTCAGTGCAGACAACCAGAGGTCCCTTATAGTGCAGAATCTGTCTCCAAAATCCCACTTTCTCCAGGGGAAACAATGTATCACAATCAAAGGACATTGTCAAGAAAGTGAAAATACGACCCACAGAAAGGGAGAAAATACTTTCAAATCATGTATCTGATAAGATAAGGAACTTGTATCTAGAGAACATATTTTAAAACTCTTACAACTCAACAGTTAAAGAGACAAATAACCCAGTTTAAAAATTAGGAAAGATCTGAACAGCTGTTTCTCCAGAGAGATACACCTATGGCCAGTGAGCACATGAAAAGATGCTCAGCATGATCAGCCGCGAGGGAAACGCAAGTCAAAACCAAAACCAGAAGCCTCACACACAGTTACAATAAGAAAAAGATGGACATAGAGACGTGTGGTGAGGAGGAGAAACCAGGACCCCAGACAGCCCTGGTGGAGATGGAAAATGGCACATGTATAGCTGCTCTGGAAAACAGCCTGCCAGTATCTTAAATGATTAAACTTAAAGTTGCCATAGGGTCCAAAAAGGGAAAAGCCCAGAACATCCATCCACTGATGTGTAGATAAACAAAATGGAATATTAGCTATAAAAAGGAACGGACTGTTTCCCTCTATATTACAACTGGAATAAACGCTGTGCTAGTCAGCAGAAGGCAGGCACAAAAGACCACATATGGTGCCATTCACGGGAAATGTCCTGAACGGGCCAATCTGTAGGGACAGAAAGTAGATTAGCAGTTTTGCCAGGGCTGGTGGGAGGGGAAATGGGGGGGGCCCTACAGTGGTGACAGGATTTCTGTTTGAAGGGGGGCAAATATTCTGAAATTAGACAGTGCTTACCAATTGCACAACCCTGTGAATGCACCAGGAACCACTGGGTTGTACACTGTAAAGGGTAAGTTTCATGGTGTATAAATTACATCTCAATCTTAAAAGTGCATCATGAGAGAACTTGACACTCAAAATTTATGGGCATACCAGAGGTCCTAGTCCTACATTAATGGGTATTTCTAAACATACTGCGTGTTTTGAGAAAGAATCTAAATATCAGCCATGGGGAGTCAATAAGTCTAAACACAGTTTTGTTTATTTTATCATAAATAAAAACCTCTTTAGTACAGAATCCACTAACTTTGAAATATTATTTCCTACGTTTTTAGTGCCTACTGTGTGCTAAGCCCTTACCCATACGTCTCATTTAATCCTGTAATCCATTTATCCATGATGACCTCCCCAAATAGGAATGACTTTCCTCGTCTTTAAAAGAGAAACAGTGAGGCAGAGAGGGTGAAGGATTTGCCCTGGAACACACCTCTTTCTGACAGCAAAAACCACATCGTATGTGATAATCATCCCAAATGGGTGAGATTATATTGTTAATAACACATGAAATTGAGGGGAAAATGAAGAAAAACAACAGCATAATATAAATTGCTTGAGAAATGCTAAAAGGGACAGTATCTTCCTTTCCAAAGTAACTCCCAGCTATACAGCCCTTGCAGATTTCAAAGCGCACTCACAGGCCATCTCGCCACAGAGGCAGGTGGGAAGTTATCCACATTGCCCGAGGACTTTTTGGCCCACACTTGCATACACAGGATTAGTGAAAAAGTCAATCTTATCTTAAAAATTGGGGATTTTCTTGGAACTCCCTTTCAGCAACTACTTTGTACTTGAGATTTTTTTAAACTTCTTTATGTTTCCCAAATTTGTCTGTAATTTAACTTTCCCTAATCGAGACTGCCTCCACCCTAAATGGCAGGAGATAGTGAAATCGAACCACGGTAGAATTCTGTACCCAGGACTTCAGCACACAACCAGACATTGTCCGGGTGAGGCTGCTTGCACGGTATCCCTGGTACCTGTGGCCACACTATAAGGCCATATGCAGGGACCCTGTCTACCCTGCATTAAAACATGTGATAGTTCACTGTGATTCTGATATAAAAGAGGTAAAAACATGTAAATCAAACATAAGTAATCTTGAAAGGGGTATGAGAAATAAATTGTTCTAGGGCGGTGCCTATGGCTCAAAGGAGTAGGGCACCGGCCCCATATACCAGAGGTGGCGGGTTCAAACCCAGGCCCCAACCAAAAACTGCAAAAAAAAAAAAAGAAAGAAATTGCTCTGTGCCAGGCACACATGATGCTTCATTTAAGCCTCACAACCTTTTAAACTTGACTACTGTCATCCCCATTTTACCGATGGAGAAACTGAGGCACCAGTGAGTTAAATACCTTGTCTAATATCAGGTAAGCAGGACATGGTAAAACTGGGGTTTAAAGCCAGTCTGTATGGTTTCCAATTCCACGGTCTTTTCTCCACACCACACTGTCTCAGCCCCAAGACCATATTTGAAATGCTTACCAAAAATGACATCCTGTCTTTTGATGACATCCTTCTCCTGCTTACTACAAAACGAAGGATCCACAACAAGACTCCAAGATTCTGCTTCGAATTCCTGGGCATCACTGCTGAGGTCACTCCACAGAGAAGAATCCACGACATCTGATGCGTGTTTAGAGAAGAAAAGCCAGAAGCACAGTAACACAGAGCCCAGACTTCCCCGAGTGCCCAGCCTAGGGGTTCCTCACACGAAATAAACCCGTCATGAACATGGAAGCAACCAGGCCAAAATACTGTTCATGCGGAGTTAAAACATCTGAAAATGAGACTGATAACGTGGTCTAAATCAGGACAGCTTTCATGAAAGCAAAGAAGAACCAGATCTGAAAATGCCGATTGTGTACACAGGGGCAGCGGAGGATCCTTTCGCTTGTCTGTTTTGGCTCGCTCCACTGTAGCTTTATTTCTGGGAACCTGCAGAGTCTACTGTGTGTCTATGGAAGCTTGAAGGCACTGATGTCTTCCGCCCCAGGTCATTTCGCCCTGTTCATTCAAATCTGAATTTTGTCCTCATCCACTTGACTTGCTTTAGTTTAGCAAGACTTGAAGCACAGAGTAAAGATATGAGCTGGAAGTGAGTGCACTCACACACTCACACACTCACACACTCACCTTTCAGGAAAACTAACTCTGTTTACCCAAATGGCATTCGTTACAGAGAGTCTTGCTCAGGGCAGTAAAGATGAGCTGATGATGACTTTAAAAGCTTGGGGTTAAACTTTAAAAAGTGTGTTCCTGGGACAGAGTCCACACCTCTGTCCTGGTGCTGCTCTCCTTCCATTTGCTTCCCCTTCACTGACTGATGCAACTTGGATACAAAGACCAAGTCCCTAGATTAGGCCCTGGCCTATAAAATATGCTTTCATCAAACACGCATCATCAAAAGTGTTCTGATTCCCCTAGAACAGTGATTTTCAATCATCATGCTGTGAAAAATTTTAAAGATCATTAAGTTATTTTCTGAAGAAGCTCCAAGCACAGTAAGTATATTCTTTTATTTTATTCTTTTTTTGGATCAACATAATTTAAGGGTGACGTGGAAGTTTAACGATAGGTTTAAGTGTGCTGTGAGGTTAAAAAGGTTGAAAAACACTGCCTTAGAAGTCGAGGGCAAAAGATGGGGCTAAGTAACTCAGAGATTCAGGCCACACTAGTCTTAACTAACTGAAGTCTAAAGTCTATAATTTTAACATGGGATTCTATTTCATCAATGGACATAACACATTTTTTAACGATACACATACAAGGTACCTCCATTCTCTTCTGTTTGTGACATATTCCTTCGGTAATGCATGCATTTAAAAACTGTATTCCTTGGTCACTATCTGGTTGTTTTTGCTAGGTCTAAATTTTAATTCCTTTAAAAAGTAGAACCTACACCCGAGGGACATCAGGAAGCAGAATTCTTTGAAAAAGAACAAACGATACTGCACAGTTCCTGTGTGAAGGACACAACCACAATTTGGACTTCAGCCTTACAAAAGCAAACCATGTAACCTAATCGTGTGTACCTCCCATGTCAATCTGAAATTTTAAAAAATAATAATATACAGTCAAGAAAAAAAGACCCAAAGAATATGCTTCAACCTTCTATTGATATCGTCATAAAATATTCCTTTTGGCAAATGCTCGCAGAAATACACACAGATGCAAAGGCATCCTCTCCTCACCTTCCATTATGAAAGACTCCGTGGAGGGAGAAGAGCCCACAGACTGCAGCAGCTCATCCGAATGAGACCTGCTTCTGCAGTTGTTACCATCACTCTCAGACTCCAAGGACGTTGCCGACCTCCTGAAGCTGGGTGGGAGGGAGGGGAGAAAAGTCAGCTGCACTGGCCTCTCTGAGCTGTTAAGATGTAAAAGCACGTCAGCCATACCTTTCCAAGGTGGTGCCTGGAACACTCCTGGACAGCGGATGGACGTGCCCGGCAGTTTCTCTCCTTCCAGTTGGCAATCCAATAGGCATGGAAGAAGAAGGGTGCAGAGAGAGGCCAGGCTGCGGGATGTCTCTAAGTGAAGAATCTGGAAATCAGAACGGATGCTTCATGTGGTTTAGGCAGAGGACAGTAAACACAAGTAAAGGCAGTCATTTAAAAGGCAGAAGCTAAACCCTGGAACAACCACGTCTCCTGTGCATCACGCCCAGCCTTGAAGCCAGTCTCCCTGGTACATCCTGACACCTGCTTCGAGTACCCCTTCCTTTCACAGCCTCCTGACACTCACGCCGCAGGTCGGCTTCCGCACCTCCAGCTGGAGAGATCATGGATGTTTGGGACTGCATGAACAAAGAAGAAAATGGAATGGGGAAACCCTGGGCCAACTTTTCCATAAATCACTGCTGCACTCGTGGGAGCCAGCTTTAAATCCACGCAAGGTGTTATTAGCACTATTACTAGAATGCACTGTGTGTTTATAAATAAGGTACACACACAGGGCACGTCAGAGGAATGGAATGATGCTGGAGAGTCTGCTATTTATGGTGTCAGGATTTCAGACAAACAAAACCTGCAAGTCAATCTGGGCTGCTCTCTCTCACCTACAGAAAGCTAAAGAGTGCTTCTCCATGTTCCTGGTCAATTCAAAACTGCCTGGGCTTGGATGCATTTACGTCTGATGTGTGCTATAAATGACTCTCAGAAAATATTTCTGTCCCACTTTATACTTGTAGACTACATATTCTCAAGCAAAAGGGGAAAAAAGACATATAGAGAGCCCAAGATATTACAAAGGATTTTTTACACATGTATTATTTCATTTATATAAAGTGGTGGACTATATGGTATTTTATCAATTCAAAGATGCTTTTTATTTTCACTGTCAAACCTATGAACTTGAGAAGTGCCTTACCACTGACGTCAAAGAGACCACTGGGGTCAAGGCAGGGGTGTAGGCAATGTGACTGGCTGTGATGCCTGCACCCACTCTACCTAGTACAAGATCACACCCAACAGCATGTGACCATGAATTTGCATACACGATTGTCTCCTGATTGAAGTGGCTTTTAAAATATCAGTCACACTTTGTTACAGCATTGAAATGAAAAGTTGCCATGTACTTAAAATTCCTGCCACGTGTCAAGCGATTCAACTTGAGCCAAAAGACACTGCAAAAATCCCTCCCAGGAAAGCAAAGGATTTTCAAGCTTAGGAGACATTGGTGTGACCCGTTCTTGCATGCAATGGAAAGAAATTTCACATGCCACCAATTATCTTCAAGAGTAATTGCTTAAATTTCAGCACTATGTGATTTAGGAAAAAAAAAACAGAGCCACCAAATTTTAAAATATGCAAACAAAACCCCAGCATGTCTTGAAATTTCACCGTCATTCTGAAGGTGCTAATGAGATCACAGCCTCCACCCAGCAGAGCAAATCAAAGCACCAGATCACTATGGTAATGGACAATAGGGACTAAGTAGAATCTCCAGACTCGAAACTTGAAATTTTTTTTCCACCAAGCTTTGTGATTTTTTAGAAGAATATGGCATATATTTGTGTAGATAAGTATGTACTACTGCTAGGAAAACATAACATTATGTACATTTAATGAGGGTGTCTCTCTCCCCCAAAAGATCATTGATACATCAATAGAGTGTGTTCCACCAGACAGGATCTTAGAATTGAGGCAATTGGCAACACTTTGTCCTTACAGCTCTCCCTGAGATCGCTCCCTATGGCTGTCTACAAAAATCACGCGATACTTAACGATGCAAGAGCTCTTAGGCTGGCAGAGAAGTTTATGTCCTTCTTGACCTCTTTATAAAACTAAACATTATACCAAGCCTATGTTATAAAAGAAATAATTGGGCGAATGAGAAAGCAAAAGGAGGTGTTTTTACAATGGAAAAATGCGTGGTATGTATTAAATGTTAAAAAGTTCTTGTCGTTTTCCACATCACTTACTTCCAAGGATGGTCTGCGGTTTGTTCTTGTTATATTTCTCTTGGAATTTCTGGTGAAGAATATTAGAAACACATAACGTAAGATCAAAGCACCAGCGGACTGCAAGAATGTCCACAGAGTTACACAGAACAGGATTCTTATCTACAGCGTTATTGGTGTTATTTTATTTCAAAGAGGAATTTAAAGTAAAACACACTGAATGCAATGAGAAGCACGGGTGACGACAGGAAGAGGTGCCAGTTTTAAGGCAGAGGTGCCCCATGAATACGCCTGGCTTCATTAAATGCCTGGGAGGGAATTAGAACTCTGCAGCTGACAGAGGGGTTCCTATCAGAGCTGTCTTTCTCCTCCTCCTGCTTTCTGCTCTTCCAGAAATGTCACCAGCTAGAAAAGCCCCCAATTCCTCAATCTGACACAATATGGGTTTCAATTAACAGAGAGGTTGGTAAACCCAAGTTTCCCTCTGAGGGATCGTCCCGCTCACTCACAGGCATCTCTGACATGAGTGGGAAAGAAAGGGAGAGAATCACAGATGCCTTCATCTGCTCCATCCCACTGCCAAATCCAGAGGACATTCCTCTCGTGCAGTGGTTCCCAAAGTGAGGCCTCAGGACCAGCCACAGAAGCATCACCTGAGGATCTGTTAGAAACGCACATTCCCAGGCTCCACCCCGGACCCTTAGAATCAGAACTCTGGGAGTAGGCCCAGATACTTGTTTGAACGGGTCCTGCGGTGATCATGATGTTTGCGGTTTTCTGCTGTGACCTTCATTTACCTGCATTCAGCATTTGTGCTGGTAAACCAAGCAGGGCTCCCCGAGAAGCCTACCCTACCACAGCACACAGCGCAGACGGCCAGACAGCCAGACGTGAGCCTTCCTGCTGTTTGTAAAAGTTACAATTAAGTAACCGTGCACCATGAGCATGTGCTCTCACTGCCATGATCACTCTAGAAATAAATCTAGACACCAACATAGGAAGAGCTCTAACAGACAACTTGAAATAACCACACAGGACATAAGCATGCAATATTTAGGGACAAGTAAGGGGTTACCTTGGTGCAGGGAGGCGCGGTGTCCTTACAGCCCTTGTGAGCACTTGCGTTACAGTCTGAAATACAGGGGAAAGATGCAGAGGCATCCCTCTTAACGTAAGTTAGTCTGAAACGAGTAATAGTACAGCACGCTTCTACTGGTCACTACAAAAATAACATATAAATGTGACACATATTTAGAAAACATAACAAGAAGGAAAATATTTAAATCACGAACAGCCCCATCACTCAAGCATAAGCACACTGTTGAAACTTTAATTTCTTTGGTGGTTTTTTTCCCCCTTCTGCACAGGGGTCTTATCAATTCTAAAACCTGGAACTACACACGAGATGTATTTCTATAACACATTTCTGTGTCTATCACAGATAAAGGGACCTGCATGTATCAGAAACTTCTGTAGACGGAATTCTCCTGCAAAGGAAGAAGATCCCATCTAGGTCCAACAAAGCCACGCAGGGTAAGTACCAATAACCCACTGAGGACTGGGAGGAAACTAAGCCCTAGACCTGCCCTGGGGCTACAGGTGAGTGGCTTTTTAGCCAACCCCTCAATGGCCAGTGAACAGAACCTGAGGCTAGTCGACATGCTGGTCCTGCTGGTAAACCGCAAGTTGTATGGCTTTCTCCTCATTCTAGACCCAGCAAATAAAAGGAAAGGGGGGGAGGAAGAAGCTTCCCCCCATGAGGTACCCCGGAGCAAGTTACACTGAAAACTTGCTGGGAGAGCAGGTCACTGGATAGGGTATCCAGACACAGAAAATTTAGATATTGGAGAAGGGTTCTTAGCCAGAGACAGAAGACAGAGCTCCAATAAGATAAACCAAAAGGCTGTGAAGGATGAACAGGATGGGAAATTAGGCCAATGGATGAGAGAGAAATCATGCTGTATGAGACCAGGAAGGGCCGAGGAAGCTGAGGGGCGAGAGCAGAGTCCCGACCGAACTGAGAAGCATCAGTTGATCAAGACACTGAAGCACGGCCACGGAGTTAGGCTTGGAAGATTCCCTCCAGAGTGCGGGGAAGGGTAAAAATATACAATAGAAGATGTCACACAAAGAAGACAGCAGAAATCAGAAAAATTAGATCAGAAGCAGTAACAGTCAAGAATTTTAGAAAGCCGGAAAAGGACTTAAAAAGGAAAATCAAAAGGTCTCACTGACTTTTAAGAAAAATAATTCAATGACACCTATTCTACAGACATATCCTGACAATAGCCATATGATTAAAAAACTGAAAGTCCTCAAGGATCTAGGCAGAAAAAAGAGGTTACCCACAAAAGAGTAAGTCAAGCAGGCCCTAGATTCTTCCGTGAGAAGAGTAAATGCTCAAATGAATCACATCAACGTTAAGAGAGTAGTTCAGGGAAAAGACTTTGGCCCAAGAATTTATTTAGCTAGGTAAGTTGTTTTTCTTGTGTGAAAGAAGCAACACTCTCTCCTTAGGTACATAAGGCTTCCCATCAATAGATCAATTCTTTTGTAGGCTACGGAGAGGAGAATCAAAATTAAGGGCTTGAAATGGATCAGTTAGAGTAAAAAAAAAAAAAGTAGTTAAAGTAAGTAGTAAAACAACGAAACAATCATTCTATAAATGTACATAGAAATACAGAATTGAATAAAAATGTTAAATTTTTCTTTTCTTTTTTTTCTTTTCTTTTTTTTTTTTTTTTGCAGTTTTTGACCAGGGCTGGGTTTGAACCCGCCTACCTCTGGTATATGGGGCCAGCGCCCTACTCCTTTGAGCCACAGGTGCCACCCAATGTTAAATTTTTCTTGAAATAGAACTTTATCCTTGAAAGATGCAATGTAAAAAGAATAGTTTAATAATTAATTCAGTATATCAACAGAAGCTGGAGGTAGGGTAAACTTAAGGGGAAGAAAATAATATTCAATGATGAGCCTTACGTATCCCTAAAGCAATCACTAGTTCATACTAAAAAAGCCACATCTTGCCAAATCCCTGGAGAAAATAAAAGCAAAGAACGTGTGGTCTAAATAGCTAATCTAAACCAGACATCAAGATAAACAGCGAGGAACTATAAAAGACAGTTTGCAGCAATAAAGTTAAATATAAATTAAAAAAAAAATCTTGTTATAGAAAAAGGTCTTTCAGTTACATTACAGACTTCCTTTAGCTAAATAAAAGACGTACATCCCAAATGAAAAACACAGAAATAGTTAAGGGAAACACAATTAAAAGGATAGCAAGAAGAATATTAGGTTTGGACAAAACAAAATTCAATGCTAAAGGCCTCTAAGGGCATTAAAAGGGTAATTTTATTATAATGAAACAAATCCGCAATGACAGGATGATTTGTAAACTTCTGCGGACCAGACAATGTAACCTCAAAATATAAGCAAAGAAATCTATTTATAAACAGGGAGAAATCGGTAAAAATAGAATTTTGTGGGCAATTAGCAACTCAGGCTTTAACGGAGAAAAGTAATAACACCAGAATTTTGAATACTTATACAGTTATTATGTGTTGTTTTACATCAAATCTTGTTTTTAAAATTAGAAATATTAACCTTCACAATTAAAACCGAAAGTACACACACCCTTGGAATAGGATTACTTACCTAAAACAGCAGAAATTACACATTAGATGTTATTACTCCATATAAAAAACTTCATAAGCAAAGTTTCAGCCACAAACATCCCCCCCGAAGAACCTGTAAATCTTAAAGTCACTTCTATTAAAAATGTGGGTTAAAAGGAAATCAAATGTACACTTTGACCCACTCACACCAGTTCAAGAATTTAATCTGTCCAGGTGCACTGTGGCTCACAACTGTGATCCTAGCACTTTGGGAGGCCAAGGTGGGAGGACTACTTCAGGCCAGGAGTTGGAGAACAGCCGCAGCAAGAGTGAGACTTCATTTCTACAAAACATAGAAAATTAGCCAGGCATGGTGGCTTACACCTGTAGTCCCAGCTACTTTGGAGATTGAAGCAGAAGGATTGCTTGAGTTCAGGAGTTTGAGGTTATGATGAGCTGTAATATCCCCACAGCACACTAGCCAGGGAGACAGAGTGAGACCTTATCTCAAAAAAAAAAAAGAATTTAACCTAAGGCAATTATCAAAGATGTATATGATATGCAAAAGAATGCTCATTGCCACATAATTTATGTTGTAGAAAAAAAGGAAAAACTTAAATGTACAATAAGAAATATATTTAATTTTAGCATCAAGTGAAACATTAGTATTAGAAGCTGATATAATTCTTCATGGTTAGAAAGGACTCCACCAAAATATTAATAGCAATTTCCTCTAGGTGGTAAAATTATGGATGAAGTTTTTTCCTGAAGCTTTCTATCTTCTATAAATATTATTCCATTTTTTAAAAAGCAATCATTGGCTCGGCGCCTATAGCTCAACCGGCTAAGGCGCCAGCCACGTACACCTAAGGTGGCGGGTTCGAATCCCCAGCCCGGACCCGCCAAACAACAATGACAGCTGCAACCAAAAAATAGCCGGGCGTTGTGGCGGGCGCCTGTGGTCCCAGCTACTTGGGAGGCGGAGGCAAGAGACTCGCTTGAGCCCAGGAGTTAGAGGTTGCTGTGAGCTGTAATGCCATGGTACTCTACCCAGGGGGACAGCTTGAGGCTCTGTCTCAAAAAAAAAAAAAAAAAAAAAAAAAAGCAATCATTATTTTAAAGCTAAATATAGCCTAGGTCAGCAGTTCTCAACCTGTGGGTCATGACCCCTTTTTTACAATGAAAATACATTGTGGCATTAGGAAGGTTGAGAACCACTTTCCTAGGTACTTAAAGCAATTCCCATCTTTCACTACAACGTCCATCACAATCTACCCTATCATCTCAATATGAACTGGTGTATTCTTTACTACGGAAGGTCTCAGATGAGGGACCTGATGACCCATGGAAAGAGCTCAGGCTTAGTCCCGCAAACACAGAGAGAGGAACCCTTACATTCACATGGGCCGATGCCCGCCAAACACCTCCCCCGCTCCTCCTCTCTCCTCCTCTCTTCTTCCTCTCCTCTCCCTCTTGCTAGACTACTTAAAGACTGGGAATTCTTATTGCAAATTATTTCTGTATGTTCACTGACAAAGGACCTGAAGAACATTTTTGGAGGGGATAATTTTTCAAAGTTTTACACAGATTAACGTGGTCCAAGTACCGTTCATTAATTGTGGGTGAAAACACCTGGGGAGAGGGCACTAGCACAGTTCACTCTCAGCTGTCCAGGAGGTGGTGCTTAGACTCTCCCAGAGTGGTAACAGTGAGAAGGAGAAAAGGGAAAGGACAGTGAGTAAAGGACACTGGCGTGGGGTGGGGGGCAGAGGAGCCAGGGAAAGTTGGCACAACGTGGCCAAAGTTCAAGGTCACGGTGCCTTTAACACAAGCAGGAAGGTAGCCTTCAGTAGTCAGTTTCTGATATATCCGGACTGGGAGACAGTGAAATCTCTGCGTAACAATGTCCACCCCGAGGTCACCCTGGGAGCCCCTGCACCCACACCAGACTTGGTTCATACCTTGGTTCTACCATAATTCTCCAAAGTGGCCATAAGTTACATGGTACTCAGCCTCAGGCAACTCGGGAATGCAGACATATAAAGTGAGGGACAAAGACACGAATCTGGGAGGAACAGGTCTGTAGATGGCACTTTAGAATAGCAGACTAGATGAGCACACTTAGAAATAATAAAGGGAAAATGAATAAATGCCCAGAATTGGGTTCGGAGGACACCCAGAGTTAGGGAAAAGGAGGAAATAAATGCAGGTGGCAAAACAGAAGAGCAGCGTGTCATGGGAAAGAGGGAAGCGTGTGTCTAAGGGAAAGGGGTGTCAACATAAAGACAGGACAGAGACCAGTGAATGAGGAGGGAAGACCCCCAGACTTGACCAGAAAGCGACCCTGCATGTCTGGCAAAAGCAGGACTTGGGTTAAGCAGTGCGGGCAGAGGCCAGAATGCAAATGGTGAATGAAGAAGTGGCAGGGATGGGCATTAAAGCAGGGAGTGGGGATAACCCACTCAAGGAGTCCATCTTCAAAAAGGGGAGAAAGGCTCGGCGCCTGTGGCTCAAGCAGTTAAGGCGCCAGCCACATACACCTAAGGTGGTGGGTTTGAATCCCCAGCCCGGGCCCACCAAACAACAATGATGGCTGCAACCAAAAAATGGCCAGGTGTTGTGGCAGGCGCCTGTGGTCCCAGCTACTTGGGAGGCTGAGGCAGGAGACTCGCTTGAGCCCAGGAGTTGGAGGTTGCTGTGAGTGTGATGCCATGGCACTCTACCCAGGGTGATAGCTTGAGGCTCCGTCTCAAAAAAAAAAAAAAAAGGGGAGAGAACGGTCCTGGATGTGACGGGGGACAACTGAAGGGGGCGTGTCTCATAAACAAGGTTGGAGCAACAACTTAGGAAACGTGAGTCAACTGCACAGATGATCCGAGGATCTTCTGTGCTGAAACACAAGCCCGTCACACAATTTGGTGAGGGGTGGGTAAGCCAGGGACAAGCCATATACAACACCTAGAGCAAATTTCTAAAAACTGGCAAATGAAAACACATCTGAGCAGCTTGATCCTATTTCAGATCCAGCAAAAGAAAGAAGTCAACTCTTCAGGAAAGCAAAATTCAAGCACGCAATAAAGTTGGCATAATTAAAGACAGTGTCAACTATATGGAGAAAATTCTCATCTGCCTTTATTGCCATACGCAGATCGTATTCGCATCAGATGTGCAACTATAGATGCAACATTGAAAAGCTTTAATTCCACCATGCTCTAGGAATTTAACAAGGAACTTTACATGGAACCTTCCCCTGCTCTTCTCTTCTGCTTGTGCTCCCAGACCACCTCCCAAATAGTCCCCCAATTCCGGCTATCAATAAATACCATGAAATGGATTGTGCCTGCCTGGGCCTGAATTCTTTTTCTCTGAATTGTTCTTTCATTCAATAAGTATTTACTAAGCACCCACTGATAGTTCTAGTTACTGTGGATACAGCAGAGGACAAATTTGACAGAAAATAATCCAGCCTTTATAGAACTTACGGTAGAGGAGACAGACCATAAAATCAGTATGCAAGATGTACAGTGAGGTGGGCGGCAGTAAGGCCGAACAGCAAAGATGCCAGGGTGGCTGGAGCAAAGGGGAGAAGAGGGACACATCATGTGGGGCCTCGCAGCCATTGTAAGGGTTCTGGCTTCTACTCAGGGGGAGGGGAGCCCCTGAAAGACTTTGAATGCAAGAGTGTAAACTTTGACAAGCTCACTGTGGCTAAAGCTTTGAGAACAGACTTTAGAGGGTAATAGCCCAAGGGGACTAGTTGGAACCCTGTGCAAATGATAGTTTTAGACCGAGTGATAGCAGTGGCAGTGGTGACAAGTGGCTGGATTTTACATGTTTTTTGAAATTAGAGCCAAGAGGATTGCTGATGGGTGTAGGGTGTAAGGAAAAGGGAGGTATAAAGATGTACTCCAAAATTTTTGGCACGAGCATCTGGTTGGAATGATCGAGTTGCCATTAACTGAGAGGATCGGCTTTCCAGTGAGCCCAGGCAGGAGAGCAGGAGCTGGGTGTAGACATGTGATGTTTGAGACGCTCCTGAGACATCCAAGCAGAGACATCAGAGAGGTCTGCAAGTCCCCAAGGGGTTCCGGGGGGCAAAATGTACTAACAAGTATCAGTCATTGCTAGGCAAACTGTTTAATCACATGTGTGGCACCAGAAAGAAAGTTCACATACATGTCTCTTTTTCTTTTTTTTTTTTTTTTTGCCAGGGCCAGGTTTGAACCCACGACCTCCAGTATATGGGGCGGTGCCCTATTCCTTTGAGCCACAGGTGCTGCCCTCACATACATATCTTAAGCAGCGATCTCATTGGCAGGAAGCTGGCTATCTGGGGGGACAAAATGCAAAGACAGCACACACCAGACCAGAGAACTTACTGGAACACTGGAACGACTCTTTCCCCAGGAGCGTCTTATCACAAACCGAGCACTGAAGCACCCCAGAGAACGTTCCCAGGACAAACTGATGTCGAGTCACTTTTTCTTTGTCTTTGGCCTCCTTGCTTTTTGTCTTCAGATCAGCAGCAGGAAGTGGGGAACAAGGATAAAAGGGAAATGCTGTGAGCCAGCCTTCTCACAGAAGTCACACCAGCCAGCCCCAGACGTCTCTATCAGAACATAAGGACTGTACACAGGATATACCATTAACACCAAAATGCAATACTCCCCCGGATGTGGCTGTCCCAAATTCTTCAACAATATTCCATAAGAAATGTATGTGTAATATCTAAAGTAAGTAATTTTAAAGGGGAAGTGGAAAGTATACTTATTGCTGAGAAACTATACATGCAGAACCTTAATTACCTTAGATTTATTCCGAGGACTGGTCATCCTATTCATGAGGAAACTGAAAGTTCTGCTCACTTTATATTTTTCAGACTCTGATTTTGCAGGTATGATGTATTTATCCCATTCTTCCTCCTGAATTCTACAAAAAAGAAATCTGTTATTGTGGCTTATAGGACTTAAAAAGGAAGCAAAGAACAGCACACACATATATACGTTTGTATGTACATGTACACATTTGTTCAGGTTTTAATGGCTGCTCTAAAGGAAAAGAAAGAAATTATGTTAAAAATATACCTTCCAGATGCATGCATAGGTGAACACATGTGAGAACCCTGTCTCATAATGTTATCAATTATTCAGTCTAGAAATAGTAGAAATGAGTACTCAGTCTTTCAACTTTTCTTAAACCTGAAAATTTTCATAGTAAAATACTGGGGCTGGATATAATAGACTTGATCGTGTAGTCAGTGACAGTAAAATAGCTGAGTCATGCCATATAATCTTTAAGAAATTGGAATAGACAGAGTCTCTGCTTAAATGAGCCTGGAAGGTCTGGAGTGAGCCCCCTTTACCTGGATGTAGCCTTTTCTAGAAACTCAATGGTTCATATAAATAAGAAAATTTCAAAGAAGGTAATTTCTCAGGTAACTATCTACAACATGACTAGAGGGAAATGTTAGGTGTAGCTGGGGATCTTACTGGCACAGCCAACAAGACATCAGGAATACAGTAAGTGAGATGAAAGATCTACTCTCCTAGACATACGTAGGGATACGACAGAGAGAGAAAAGAACAGAAAAAAAAACAAAAAACAAGAGTGATAGAAAATGAAGAATCAGAGAGAAACTGACTCCATACACATCCCATCCAAGTTAAAATATTTTATAGGCTACTGTTTACATATGACCTTGGCCCCTCCAGTCTTAAATCTTTCTCCTATTTTTTTTAAATCTTTATAATCAGTTGTTCCTATTCCAAATGATAAAAAGATGCCAGGGAGAAGACTGCTAATCAAAATGATGACCAAGATAATGACCAAATTCCAGAATTAGGAAGGAAATTGCTTAAATGAGGTAATAAATATAAGCCGCTTAAAATAGTTCAAGGCACATACACAACACCCAATAATTGTGTCAGTTATTGCTACTTCTGGTCTCATTCTCATCATCATTGACACAATGTCCCCTTCATCATCGTCATCGCATCTTCCAAGGGCATTCTTAGTCTCCTGTTTATAATATTGCAAAGTTTCAAAGTTTCTATTTTGGTTTCCAAAAAAATAGAAATGAACCAAAGGAGGCCTTTTCTTATTCACACTTTTATTCTGGGATTTAAAACACAAAGTCCACCTTGATCCATATATTAAAAGGTTTCAGAGATCTAGCATCAATGTCAACCAAATTAAACTCCACTTTACTCTTTTTCAGATGGTCTCTTAAAACCAAACCTTTATGCCATTTCTGGCACTTGTTCTGTACATAACCCGAGGGCTGTTTCACAGTGTGCCGCATGAGCAGTTAGTTATTCATTCAAGACCAACAGAACCCAACAATCAGGCTTGTACACTATTCTGCTTCCCAAGCTTTCCTCTGGCAACAATTTTACTTTGTACGGGGGG